GGGCTACGAAACCTAGTGAACCAGTTGGTTGACGGTGTTCCCCCGTTGGATCCGTTGCCTGTCTGTCCAGCCGTGTTTGTTGGTTGGTGACCCGAGAGTAGTTGGGACATTGACGCTTCTAAGGCGTTGATTCGGTCTCGATCGGCCTTCAGGGTGGATACTTCGGCCTGAAGACGTGCGATCAGTGCGTCTTTGTCCATTTCGTCGTCTCCGTCTCGTCCTTTGCCTTTGTGAGACGGTCCTTCTTCCATCATTGGTGGGTTCGGTGTGAAGACAAAGCTTCCTGGTGGTCTAGGTGTGTCTTCGGACAATTTGGAATTAAAAAAATGACGGACAATTCGGGTGTCAGGAGTGATGGCGAGGTCAAAGGGGTCTGGTAAGGTGGCTGGCGTTGAAGTCACAAACGGCGTATGCGTGGTGTTGGCTAGGATAGTGTGGTCGCTGTCGGGCGTGTCTGGAGGTGCTTCCGGTCGATAATTATATCGAGGAGCTAAAGGTGGTTCTGGCGAGTTGTCAATGGCGTGTTGGTGTTGTCTTAGTCGACGTAGTAACCTTTCCGGGTCGTTGGTAAAGTTCGCCGGTAAAGCGAATCCCATTAAGCGACGTAAGACTGTCGATTCTTTCTGAGTTCTCTCACGGGTGGCAGATGTCAAGGATTTTCAAGGTAAAACAAAAAAAAACTGAATACGAGTTGGATTGATTTGCACAGTTGAACTGATTATAGATTAAAAAAGTGTAAGGCTCTATGATCTAGAGCCTTCACTGAGGCGAATGGGACTGGAGTGATGACTCCGAAACGTAATCTATAATCCAACTAGATTCCAAAAATCACAAACAACGCTAGCTCCAGCCGAAGATATTCGGTCAATCAGTCTAAAGCTCTACAACAGACATATCCGAGAAAGAGAAACGGATGATAGAAACATGAGAATAAAGAGAACTGAGGATCTCACCTAGCTCCAGCCGAAGATATTCGGTGAAGAAGAAGTTCTTCGTGGAGCTAGGGCCTTGACAACTATAACTACGACCTGTCTACATCCATGAGTCCATAACCATATGTAATCCCTTACAACCGGATCCATGCTCCAAAGCGCACAAAACCACCAACAATACTAGGAATTTGAAAACATGGGACCAATGTGATGATACCGGGCTTTTTGCTGCTGCATGCCGACACAATGTCCCTTTATTACTGGCCAATATTTACCAGAGTGGTGAAAAGTGGGCAAATATCTGGTTTTGATCTCGACAGCGTGACTGACCAGCTTGTGTTCAAAAACAACAAAAAACAGGATGTACTATCCTCTGAGCTTGGTAGAAGCTACACTCGACAAATTCCCAACAAAGTGTTTTGGTGTGTTGTACGATATTGGTTGTCACCTCGAAAAATACATCATAAAGGTAAGGAGCTCATTTCAAGTATTACATCTTGTTCCCGCCACTGACATCATTTCCATGCAGCACAACCTTATCCCTCAACATATAGGTCAGCTGATGTTTCGGACATTGGTTTTCCATGCCTATGTCCATACCTGGGCATGTCAGCTGTTCTACAATCCACGATTCCGTGATTACTGGGGATTATCGGACGGAGAAGGACTGGAGCGCACCTGGTATTTCCTCGTGTGCCTTGTTGCGTGTCTCCGCGTGTCTACACGGCTTCACTGCCTCCAAGCAATTGAACTACGTTGCAATTATTTGGCACTTCGACACCAAAACAACACCAGCGAATGGCTATCCCGACGGCTAGCGCACACAATGAATACGATGAAAGAAGCACAACTTAAGTTGGATGAACTATGTAAAAGATTGAATACTTATGATGATTATAACAAAGGACGTACCTACACACCAGATTTTTTTGCCGCCCAGTGGAAAGCAGAGTGAGAAGCCAATATTGCCACTGCTCAAGACGTCAAGAGCCGGCAGAAACTTGAGCTAGGTTGGCTCCTGTGCCTTGAGCAACGCTCACATCAAGTTTGGTGAGGGTGGCTCACCATTTTTAGGCACATGGGTTAAGTCTGAAACTATGTGTACCCATAGGCTTGATCCTCTCAACACCGACGACGGCGGCTTAGAGTGTTTGCAGCGGTTTGAAGACCTTGCAAAAAAGATTGAGGATCAGCGTCAAAAAATCGGACCATCTGCAATTACAACAAATCTCTCTGGTAAGTCAATCAAACTCTTCACTTACCATGTCATACAACTTCAACTCACTCCGCTGTCATCTTCAGAACAAGGTCAAGACATGTTGTTGAAAGTGTGGTACGCAAAAACTGTGGTTCAAATGCGCTTCTTGGCTTTGCAAGCGGAGCAAAGGCCCTTGGATCCGGAAACGAGGGTTGGGGGAGGTTCACGGCTTGGTCAGTTTGCATCACCTTCTCAAATACCAATATTTTAAGCATTTGTTGACATATATGTGACCAAACCACCCAGGCACCCATGAGAAAGAACGGATCATGGAGGCAATTCAACGTTGGACACGCACAATGAAGAACATACTCGACATCTACAACCGACATCCTCAAGCCTTCAAAGACCAATGTCCCAGTCATCCAAGCGCCCCAGTGATTGAATATAGTGACCTTGTCGCATTGTAATCTGATGATCCCTTCTGGAACTACGGTGTCTTTACACATTCTAACAAACCTTGGGCGGTCAATGCTGCCACTCAGATGGGCATGCGGGCTCTTGCTCATTTGAAACAAGGTCAAGAGGAGTTTTGTAGAGTTGGATGGGAGGTACGACGAGCTATGCGTTGGGCAACGCATGAGCACAAGCGCCTGTGGACCAAACTGAACTCCCTGAAAGACACCGGCAATCTTCCAAATGATGGAATTCAGGTGTTTCTGGACAGCCTGATCTTATCAAAATTATCGGCAGAGAGCAGGGTCAAAGTTGTCAAAGGGACCCTCCACAACGCCTTTGTCAAGATCTGCGGACTATTGCTCCAATGGGATGATGATGTCATTGAAGTGATGATGAAAACACCATCTCAGATGGCTGATCGTGAGTTGATGGTATTGTGGAAGTCTCACATCCTCAAGATCAAGACTCTGCGGTTAAAAGGCTTTGCCTCAACAAAAGCAGGCAACTTTGTTCACCTTTTCGAGACCGCCAATGTAGATGTAGATATGAATAATAATCCAGTAGTACCTGAGCAGGAAGCATTGGATGAGGATCTTTCTGATGTTGACAAAGATGAATGGGCTGAGGGTATTGACAAAGGCATGCTCCAAGGAATCTTTGAGACTGTTGGGCAAGAATAAGTAGGTTTAGTATTTCCCACGTTGATGTATCAGAGTCACAATGTTTATTTTTTTTTGCTTGATGTGTCTTATCAATACAGTAGAACCTGTACTATCCGGTACTCTCCAACCCGGTAGCCTGCCAAATCCGGTAGTGGAGGATTCCACCAGCTCGGTTCCCAGCTAAATAACCGGTAGCCTGCCTTAAATGCTATCCGGTTGATAACTTGCAAAGTACCGGGTAAAACAGGGAGAAAAATAGACTTTATTTTACTATAAAAGGACCCCAAAGGTCAAAAATTGGGGCCGAAAAAGTCCTTCAAGTTTGTCTGAACCACCCGACTCTCCCTTTCAATCTGTCTCTCCTCCCTAACCTCACTCAAAATCACTCAAAGCGATCGGACAACACTTGTAGAAATGTTGGGATCACCTCGTTCAGTCATGATTCAAATCGCATCGACAAGGGCTTCGGTCTGTTGTCCTAGGGGAAGTTCCGGCTCAATTTCATCCTCTCCAATCACAACAACCTCGTCTTCCACAGTCACTGCGGCCTCAATCAGCTCTCTGTCGGTCAAAGTCATGTGAGTGTTGTTTTCAGCATCCAGATTGAGCAAGTCACTTATGGCCATTGGATCTCAAACCCGAAGAGTAGTCAGATGTGAAGTCAACTGGTCTTCGAGCTGAGACTCTTCGAAGTTTTCAATCGGATCATCGCTTTCAGGTACTTCAAGTATCTTTCCATTTTGATCGCGAGGTGAGATTATCTTTGTATGCTTCCAGCAGTTTTGAATAGTTTCTTCTGAGATTTCTTTCCAAGCCATCTGGACCCATCTCATTGCTTGAAGCTGATCAATTTTATAAATGTTTTTGTTTGATCCAATCTCCTTGCGGTCAATCGCATTCTGTAGTTGATAGTTTCGATAGTGCCTTTTGAAGGCTGCGATGATCCCAGCATCTAAAGGCTGAATCTTGGAGGTCGCGTTTGGTGGCAAGAAGAGAAGAGTGAGATTGGGTAGCTCGGCAGTTGAGATAACATGAGAGGGGGCATTGTCCAGAATCAATAAGATGTTTCGATTTTGAGCTTTCATCTCATCATTCAATTTGACAAGATACTCCTGTTGTAGAAAGTTATCCTGTTGGTAAATCAGATTGAAATAAGATCATCATGATGATCCCTTACCTGGAAGAGCACACCAGTCATCCAAGCCTTCTTGTTGCTGCGATAGTAAAAACTAAGCTGTTCTCCGGTCTTCTTTTTGAAGCATCAAGGCTTTTCCGCATGTCCAATAAAAAAGAGAAGCGGCTTTTCTGAGCCATCAGCATTACACGTCAATGCAACTGTAATGCAAGTCTTATCGTTTTTTGCTCCTTCAATTTGTTGAGATGCAATCGTACGGTCTGGAGTCAGGCAGTAGAAAAGCCCAGTTTCATCCATATTGAAGATGTCCTTGAGAGCGAATTTGTTGGTCATCTCGATGATTTCGGGTAAACTTTTTTGAATTGCCGCAAAGTCTGCTGAGCCTGATTCGCCGTGTGTCTTTACACTTCAAAACCCGTGTCGTGCTTGAAAGCTTTCAAGCCAACCTTTGGAAAAGCTTGGTTGATCCTGATCAGGGATCTTCATTTGATCAGCTAAGGTTTTTGGCTTGGCCTGGATAAGGGGACCTGTCAGGCGAGTTCCGTTATGCTCGCACTGGAAAACCCAGTTGGCAAGGGCAGTGTCATGCTCAGGATGGTGAGCTATCCTTCGTCGCTTACATGAGAGTTCTGCTGAGCTCATTCCTAAATAATTCTCCTTTTTCTTGAGGATGTCCGAGATTGTAGTTTGACCAGGTATCTTGAGGAGATTGAAAGTATGTTTTGCCCATTTAGCTAGATCTGATTGCTTCATCTTTGGACACTGTGTGTGCTTCTCACACAGCTTTTTCTTTTGATCATTTGTCATAATCCCGGCTTGAAGAGGCTTGATTTGAGGCATGTTGAGGGCTTTGTAAGAGCTGACAGGATTTTTTTGATTTTTTTTTTAAATTCTCGAATCCGGTAGCCTGTCAAACCCGGTACCAAGGGCTTCCACCGAGCGTACCGGATGGTACAGGGTTTACTGTATGTATGTATATGTACTATAACTATTGTATCACTATCTACAGTATGTACTTGTTTTTGTTCCTGCAATTTAGGAATGATTGCTCAAATCATCAATCACGATTTAAAGTGATTCAAAGAGTGTTTTTAAAATGACTCAATGCTACAATGAAGGCGTGAGGTAGGAAGGAAAAACATGTTTTTCGTTCCTAAATGATACAACATAAGATTTCTGAATACAGAGACCCGTATTTTTTCCAATTTTGCATAACATACCAGCAACTCACTTGTTGAGCACCTCATCTTCAGGTAAAAAGGAACATGTTTGCGCTCTTATTCGTTACAAAGGCAATTTTTGTTGGAATATGTATAATCACGTCATGAGAACTATCTCACTTCTCTCATATCACATATCCCATAAGTATGTAGTGTGCTTTACCAACCTAAATGCTCCTTGTGTACTCTTTATATTTCACTACTCAACTGATCGTGTGAACATATAAATGGTCCCTGAATATCCTACTGTCTCTTCATTCAATTGTTTGTGTGAATCATTATTCTCTCTTACATAATATCTCGTGTATATAAACTGCCTGGAGCTGCACCAGGAAAGGGTTTCTTTTCCTCACCCTTTCCATTTCTGTCTTGTGCGCTCCACTTGATCACAACAATTTTTGGGGTAAAAAGTGCCTTGAAAGAAGTGAAGATGGAGGAAAATCGATTTTCTGATTAGAGACACTGACCTTCTTTTTGGTTTTTGCCTACAAAGGTCGCAAGATGAGTCCATAGCTGTCTGTCTTCAGGTAGTAATGTGCTAATTTGCTGATGAATGTGAATAAAAAGTCCATTTTTGGGCGTAAAAGTGTCCCAAAAGGCCTGAAAATGGAGGAAATTTGAGAAAGTGATCAAATAGACTCAAGTTCTTTTTGGTGTTTGCATAAGATTCTCGCAACAAGAGGCCATATCACCTTGTCTTCATGTGGTAAGGGACAGTTTTACTGATAAAACTGACAAAAAAGGTACGTTTTGGAGATATAAGTGTCTTGAAAAGGTTGAAGATGGAGGAAATATGAAAAGTGTTCAAATAGACTGACATTATTTTCCCATTTTGCATAAGAATACCACAAGATGAGGCCGTATCTGCATGTTTTCAGGTGGTATGGGTGTAAATGTTGGTGATTTTGTCGAGGTTTCAAATGTGAGTCACTTTGCACAAAAACATGACAATAAGGAAATCTCAAATTTCCTAATGTTTTTCAGCGAAAAATTAGCTCAAACTACCCAAAGATGAGAAGATATGGACTCATCTCGCGGGATTATTATGCAAAATCCAAAAATAATGTTAGTCTATTTGAACCCTTTTACCAAATTCGTTGATCTTCGACCTTTTCAATCAACATTTATCTCCAAAATTCTCACGTTTGATCACATTCAGCATTAAAACACTTCTTTTCTACTGGAAGATGAGGTGATATGGACTCATCTCGCGAAGATTGTATGCAAAATCCAAAAAGAACGTCAGTCTCTCTAATCAGAATTTTGATTTTCCTTCATCTTCATGCTGTTCAAACGACAATTATCCCCAAAGTGGTACCAAGTCAAAGGCTTGTGTGGAAGTGAAAACATCCTGACTTTTGGTATTCAGAGATCTCAAAACTGATGGCGAGGTACTCTACTGAGAACCTTCACTTACTTACTTTGGAGACTTAAAAGGTGAATGCTTGGGTCATTTATTAACCATCATTGCTATCGTGTATAATATATCAGTTATTCCAATTGATACAAATTGAGCACACACATAATGAATACTTGTGAAAGGAACACAAATTCAAATTTATCCTTGACTGTTGATACAATTAACACAAAATCAACCCATTACACTTGAATGACCAACCGCTAAGAGAAAAAGTGATAACCGAGAACAGATCAAAGACACGTAGATAACCAAGAATAAGATTTCTTCGCATCGGGATTCAACCTTTACTGCCAAAGTAAGGTTAGTTATTCCCAATAACTAGTCATAAGAATCACGTTCAGATTAGATATCAGTCATTGGTGGGACATAGAAGGTATAGACTAACCTTCTAAAATCCTGCTGGAACTTCAGATTTGATATCAGTTTGAGTTCCTCCAATATCAGTTTGAGTTGCAACATTGTTTTGCTTTCTACATATAAATACCTGTGTTACATAGGTGAGAATCATGCATTATGATGCTCCATTGCAATATGCTCACTTACTTCAACGCAGGAGATGTGAATGTCACAACAATCAATGAACCCGTTCAATGCACTGAGGGTCAATCAAGCCCGTCTTCTTCACCTACAACACCATCCTTGGGATTTTGGATGGAAGCAAGGTGTTTGTTGGCCGCTTGGGCGGCGGCTGCTTTGTATGCGGCAAACACTTCAGCTTCATATTGGCTGAAACTTTCAGCAGCTTTGTATGTAAGTCATATTTGTCAGTCAGTTGTGCGGTTACATAGACACATCACTTCGAAATGATTGTGATGGGACTCACTCATGCCCTCGGAGGTTACGTCAGGAACGAAAGCTTCAAACGCTTTGTGAAAGGCCTCTTTGGAGGCTTCCAAGTGGGCCTCTATCTCATCATCAATACTGGCCGCTGAGGTGAGCTGTGTGAGCAATGGTTGTGATGATCCTAACTTGGCTTCTAAGATGCTGGGCCGAATGGCGGTGATATTGTAGAACTTGCCATTTTTGAGAAGTTGCCAATGTTCTCGTGGCACGCCAGTTTTTGATAAGAAAGCTAGCCTATCGGGACAAGCCTTGAACCAGTGACCAAAGAGACCACAGTAGAAGCACTCGGGGAGGCCAGCTTTCACTTGCGGCAACGCCTTGTGAGGTATGGGACTTGGTGATCTCTCGGACATTTGCGTTGTGACATGGCGAGTTTTATAAGCTGAGTTCTTAGCTCGGGTGTAAGAGGTGTGCAATTGGGGGTAAGAGTATTTTGAGTACTATCAGAAATGATAATTGGAGACGAGTGAGACATTTTCTTTCAGATAGTATTTGAGTGATTGAGGATCTTTGAAATTGAGAGTGATCAAGATGAGTGGGTCAGGAGAAGATCACCGGTGGAGACAATGGGGTGAAGGTGAACAATTGAGGCTGCTTGAGTCAATGGGTGTTTATACTCGTGACCTCTGCTCATTGCTGACTTGTTTATTATTATCATATGTGTGTGTTGTTTTGAAATCTTATCTTCTTCCGATTCTGACCAATTCATAATTCAAGATATATTGAAGGCAAGTGGGCAAGTGTACACATGCAAGCAACTGAATTTTGATTCAATCAAGCAAAACAAAGTTGTTCCAATGCCTAAACAATGGTGCCTTGCCGACGCTGTTAACCTATGATGAGACCTGAGGATGGTGGAGGATGAGCGCAGAGTTCATCCAAACTTTTCAATGATATGTATCTGATGCGGATCTCTGATCAATGAACGGTACACAATTCCTTTGTCTGTATTTGCATTGCTTTTGGGTCACAAGGAGAATACCACATATGGTATTGAACAAAATGGGCAAACAACATTTAAATATAAACAAAAGGAAGGGGAAGGGGAAACATGTTAATTGTGTTCACCATATTCAAACTTGCTGTGATATATGTAGTTACATGGAAGACGGGTCAAGGTTGATGGTTGGTATTTGGGGAGGGTTCATATCAAGAGAGTTGGCTCGGTTGTAATGTGAGGATGGGTCAGGCCCATTGTCTTGAGTGTCCAATCTGACTAATTGAATTAGGTTCTCCTTGAGGTCGGAATCGAGTGCAAGAAGCTTGGGCTGGTTGAGTTTGGTGCTGGGGGTCTTTAAGGTCTGTCGTTGCAAACGGGCGCCGGGAAGCAGCTTGACTTCATATCCGGCTTCTGAAAGGACTTTGTCGCAACGGCTCCACGGCCAATTTTTCAAGCCGGTGGTTTCATCTGATCAATCATTGATTGAATGATGTAATTAGTTGCGGACTTTGATTGAATTAAACATAACCAAAGGAAAGCACTTACGTAAGAAAGTAGAAAGTGACGCAACCACACGTGATTGGAATTGTTTGCTCAAACCTGTCATGATCGGATTGAGCAATATGTTGTATCAAAGTATATTTGGAAGTTACTTACCAGAAACCGCACTTGAAAGCTCGCCAGGTGTTTTGCCCAACATGAGTGCTTGTAACCTGGCTGGAAAGTTGTTTACACCATCAACCCCGTAAATCATACTGACTGGCTTGTTGGCTCCGGCTGTGAAGTTGGTAACACTACACAAAATATAATATTTTCTGGGCAGAAAATTAAATTATTGATACACAAAAATATTGAGAGGCCAGGAGAAGGGCAAAAAATAAATTAAAATATGCATCTTGTTCCCTGCGGTGAGAGATTCACTCTCCATATTTTTCCATATTTTTACAGTCCGTATTGATAAGTGTACTAACAATAAACCTTCATAATCATCCAATTACAACCTGTAACAAGCACTGAAATTTGGCTCATTAGTGTTTAGAGAAACTTTTGATTTCTGAAAACACCTATAACTTTGTCAAATCTGCCTCAAAACACTCGATTGTAAGTGCATTAGAAAGCTGAACTCTTCCTCTCAAACTTTCATAAGATCAAGAACTATGTAGCTAGTATGACAATCATTCTATGGATCTGTATGTACAAACGTATAAAAAAGATGATATCTTTTTTAGCAGACCAGCACGCTGCGTGGTCCTATTATGAACTATTTGGAGGACAATTCCAGCTTACCAATGCACCCAAAATTGAGCGTTTTGGACCGGAATTGAAAAAGTTATGAGTATTTTCAGAAATCAAAAGTTTCTCTAAACACTAATGAGCCAAATTTCAGTGCTTGTTACAGGTTGTAATTGGATGATTGTGAAGGTTTATTGTTAGTACACTTATCAATGTGGACTGTAAAAATACGGAAAAATATGCAGAGTGAAGTTCTCAATGCAGGGAACAAGATGCATATTTTTATTCATTTTTTGCTCTCCTCCTGGCCTCTCAATATTTTTGTGTATCAATAATTTAATTTTCTGCCCAGAAAATATTATCTTTCTTGTAGTGTAATCTGAAAGTTGTGCTTGCCAATGTGATTTGACACCGCAACCATAACACTACACAAAATGTAATCTTTACCGGGTGGTAAAGGAAACTACTGACATAGAAAGATCCTGAGGCAACAGGAAGAGAGCTAAAAATCTGAAAAAATATGCACCTTGTTCCTACATGTTGGGGCATCATGATGAGTATTTTTTTGTATTTTACACACAGATATTGGTTAATGTCACTGGGCACATGTAGTATTTCTCCCAAGTGAAAAATGATTGACCTGGAGGACAAAAAAAATCAAAAATGATGTAATTCTGTATCCATTTTGCATGTGCATTTACAAAGCATTTTTTTGCATTGATGCTGCATTTTTCTGCATTAATGGTGCATTTTTCTGCATTAACATAGCATTTTTAATCATTTTTGACATTAAGTTTAATCATTTTGCATAGTGGAAAAATACTACATGTGTGCAGTGTGTACTAACAATAAAGGCTGAAAATCATCAACAACCCACCTGTAATAACAATACCTGAAATTTGGGTCATGATTATGAAGACAATATTGTGTGGTCTAAAAGCTTCAATAACTTTTGCAATTCTTCTCCAAATAACTCAATTTTTGGTTCATTCAAAAGCTGAACTATTCTCCTTCACACTTCATAAGGGTAGTAAGGTGTTATTTAGTCATGTAACCGCTCTACATATGCTCAAACAGTTCTGAATAAGTAGCTCTGTAGGATCTTTTTCAGACTAGCTACAGATGTGATGTCTGAATGATAAATGTAGAGGAAAGACACACCTTTTTGATGAACTCCAAATCAAGTGATTTGATTCACAACTGATGAAGTTATTGATGTTTGAAGATTTCAAAATCCTGTCTTCAAAATCATGGGCCAAATTTCAGGTACTGTTACAGGTGGGTTTTTGATGATTCTCAGCCTTTATTGTTAGTACATTAACGAATATCTGTGTGTAAAATACAAAGAAATACTCATCAGGACGCCCCAACATCTAGGAACAAGGTGCATATTTTTTCCGATTTTTAGCTCTCTTCCTGTTGCCTCAGGATCTTTCTATGTCAGTAGTTTTCTTTACTGCCCGGTAAAGATTACATTTTGTGTAGTGTAACAAACTCAAAATGATTGGCTTTGGCTATTGGCATACACTATCAACAGATTGAGATTAGAAATATGGAACCTTGGGATGTAATCATGAGTTAAATACTCACGTGATTCGAAGTCTCTTCTAAAAGTTGTTTGGCTTTATTTTTGTACTGTTTGAGGCAACAAGGATTGGCTAGAATGTTGGTGCAAGGTTGAACTATATTGGATCGAGACTGGGATCCCACGTTGATGACTTTGAGGTCTTTTTCGAGGGTCTCTAAATCGGTCTCAGTTGGCTCAACTTGTACATCACTACAAAGACTTCCCCCCGCCTTTGCAAGGTCTTTATAAACTTGTTTGTCCTTCTTATCCATCATGCGCCATTCTTGACTGAGTATCTTCATAGCAGTCCCATTACTAATTCCAGAAGCTGTTTGAGAAATGAGGTTTGATCTTCATACATACACGTAGGAAATTGCTTACCTGCTTTGAAGATTGCCTTGGCCACATCACATCGGAGGAAGTAATTCCAAGCCAATGGCTGATGAACTGCAATGTACTTACCACTACAATGATTCAATCATCGTACGGTCAGACTAATGAATGATTTTTTGATCAGAAAACAAATGACTTACAAGACTTGGTCTATGTATGAAACTGTGGTACCAAGCTTGAGTGCTTTGATAGCCTTCAGAGTTTTGATTTCTTTGTGAAGTTGAAGGATTGCGTTGACCAAATTGGAATCCTTGCTTGATGTGGCGTGCAACTCGGCTAGACATCAAAGTTTGACAGCAGTCTTGTTTTGGGTATTGCTTGCGTCAAATACCGGGACTTCGTCTGGTTTGTATGCTTTGGTTGTTTCAATTTGTGTATTGTTTTTGTTTTTCTTATTTTTTTACTTTGTTTGTTTTGATCTTTCCGTTTTCGATGTGAAGTTTTGCTAGCTTGAGACTCGGAGGGTGCTGATGAGCTGATGTGATTGGGGAGAGCTGGCCCAGGGTTGACTTGACCGCCAGTCAAACTTTGGTTTGGGTTAGGCGCAGGATTGGTGAGAGCTGGACCAGGGTTGACTTGTGCACCGGCAGTGTAATAGGTCAGATAACCAGGGTAGACAAAACCAGGGTTGCTAGGGTTGATGAGACCAGAGTTGGGGTTCACGGTTGCTTGAGTACGCGGAACTGGTTGACCGTAGTTCCAGGTGTTTGGGTTCTGAGTAGATGGACCATAGTAGTTGTTATAGGCTGGGTCAGAGACGTGAGAGTCAGGGCTGATTTGAGTTTGGTTGTGATAGTTCGACATGCTGAGGAAAGTTAGCGTATGGAGTTTGAAGTCTTTAAACGTTGATTACTTCGGTTTTTCATATAGGGCGATAAAGAGGAAACTTGGAGGAAACTTGGCCGTGTGGGGTAATCAGAGGTATTGGGTCTGGTAGTTAGTTTATGTGCATGTAAACGATGTGTAGTGTAAACTGAAATGAGCAGATTTCAGATGCAGGAAAATCTTGCTTTGAACAGCTCAATTTGACACAATTACAGCTGTTAGTATAGTCACAATAGAGTACACGAAGGTGCAGTTTACAGATCTGTACACAACTGTACGCAACTGTGCAAGACTAGCAACTATCAGCTATTGCTGGGCTGACCAATTCTATGGGTCTTCCAATTCTCTGGACTTAGTCAAGTTAGGTTTTTCCTCTATCAAATCTTCCTGTGCCAAAATTACAACATACAGCCTAAGTACCGTGCACACCATAAGCAACCACTTTTCAAGAAGCCCAAGGCATAGTATAAGGACTTTGGTAAGTTTTGGGATAGATGACCTTTATAAAAACCAAAGAGATTGATTTAATTGCTCAGACCAAAAAAACAAATTGATAACAAGATATAAAATTGTTCAAAAACCAAAAAAAACTCAAGCAGTTTAAATTCATCACAACAAATCACATTTAATTACATTTGAATAAAAAATCTGATTACAACATTCATAAAAGAAAAATGTTTTGAAAAGAAAAAGAAACACTAAGAAAAGTTTTTTTAAAGAAAAGTCAAAAACAACTTCTTTGACCAATCACAAAAAAACAGTCTTTCATATTTAATAAATAATACATTGTTTATCACGTTTGATTAATGATCAAAAATGACATTTATAAATATAACCATTTTGTTCAAAAGAAAAAAATGATGATGATGATGATACAGAAGAAAGAAAATTATCAAAGTTCTGAAAAATAACTTTAATTGCTGAAATCATTTCACATTCACTGGTGAACTTTCTCGCTCATCACCCGGAGCTTGCCAAATACGAACCTACAAAAGATGGACAAAAGAAAGTGAATACTTAAATTCAAGTTCAACAGAGTTCAAAATGATCTTTCAAACTAACCGTATGATCATCACCAGCACTAGCAAACATAGTCGGATGTTTCGGATTCCACGCCACTGCATTCACACTACCTTCACTATGTCCATTTAGAACTTCAATCAATGACCCAGTTTCTTTATGCCATACATAAATCTTTGAATCTTCACTTCCACTCAAAATGAAATTTCGATCCAGTCCTCCAAAACAACTACGGATAACAAATTCCCCTTGTTTTTGTCCAACATAACGTCGTATTAAGCAATGGGTATCCAATGAGTAAAGATGTACCTCCTGAATATGGTATCAAAAGCGCTCAGTCAGCCTTAGATCGCTGAAATTTCGTTGCATACAACCAAGAAGGTGATTGGAAACTTACGTTCGGTGATTGATTGATAAGGGCGTACTTGGAGTCATGGGATATTGACACGCATGTCAATTCACGAGTCTGGGGGATCATCCTGCGTGGGAAAAATGTGAAAGGACCATTAGCCGGAGATTAAGATCACCGGAAGGTTTCCAATTCCGTTGTGAGTCTTACGCGTCTTCCTTCTTCTCAGCGATATTGAAGATATGTATACGTCTTTGTTTATCTTTCGCAACATCCGTTCCATTTGAAGTATCGTTTGTAGAATCATTCCCTAAATCCCTTTCCGAAGAATCAGGAGAATATTCATTTCATTGACAAGTTGCGCAGATGATGACTGACTAGGTTCAGTTTGACTATTCCCAACATTGACTTGTGCGATACCGATTGCAACCAGTCGCTTTCCATCTGGAGAGACTGCCAAGTCAAGGATCCGAGATGGCGATACCCGCCACATGAAAGTGGTTTGACCCTTGAGATCCTGTTGGAGACCTATCATAAATTAAAGTGAAAACGTCGTTCGCTGAGATAATTGCTTCCTCACCCAAAACAAAACATCCGAGTCCATCCCACCCGAAACAAACCCTTGGCCGTCAGGTAGCCACGACAAAGCAGATACATCATATTCATGCTTGACCATTGTCGAGATGCAATCACCTGTCTGATGGGCCACTCGTGTTCACGACCATCCGACTTAGATAGGTGCCCCTGACAGTAATGAGGTAAGATGCACGATGACAACAAAACTCACGCGAGTGTTCCACATTTTTATAGTACAATCAGATCCTGTCAGGAGTACACTATCATCCGGAGACCAAGCGATGCAACTGATACCAGCAGGGTGTCCGTCCAATACCAGGTGAACCGCAATAGTGACTTCACCATTCCCTTGGCAGAAGGATTCATCATATGGTGGTGGTGGAATACCGGCTAGGTAAGGGGCAGTTGAATGGGGATCAGAGGGGGCAGAAGTCGACAGCGCACGCCAAAGCGCAGCCCGAGTGGTAGATGAAGAAGTAGAGTTTAATGAATTCAATTGATCACGAAATTTGTCTGGCGCTTTACTCTGCGGAACGGGACGACTTTGTCTGGTATTGCCTTTGACTGGCGTAAGCTTCCATATGATACATCGGGTATCTCGACCGGCTGAAGCTAATCGTGTACCATCATGTGACCATTCAATTCTCCAAACTTCGTCCGAGTGCTGAGAAAGAACATGGCTCGTTTGAATTGGGAATGAAAATCGACTACAAGTGTGGTTTGACAGTAAGGAGATTGGGGGATTGGTGACATGGTACAGGCATTGCAAACGCTGCAAGTTTTTGGATTGCTCCAGAAGATGTGAGAGGCGTCGATGCGGTAGTAGTTTGTCAGGCGGGATCAAAGCTGTGAACAATCAAAGGAAGATGTGGGTTCGATTCAACAAAAGAGAACCCTCCAAAACAAGCAATCCGAAGGAATCCACACATACCTTGCAAGTCTTCCAGAAGTCGAATCCGACTACCTTGCCCAACTCCACTCCACATGGCTCTTTGACGAATTTCTTCCACGGATCCGCACATCATCAAGGAGCTCAATAAACACAGCCTCTGAACACCTGGATCTTCGTCTTCCTCTTCAAGCCACATCGGGCCATGACCAAGATCAGGCTTGTTATCCGTTGTGATATCGACTGAAAGCTTGTTAAGTGAGGTGCCAATCTTTGATACAGACGATTTCATCCTCAACAATAAGTCGGAATCGATGGGATGTGTAGGGGATGCGAGCGGAGCCAACTCGCGACGAAGGACAGATAAAGCCTTGCTCGTTTGCCCTAGTTCCAGTAACTCAAGGTACTTTTGCTGGGCGACGAGGAACCTGGCCATCTACAGGTAGTGCAGAAAAGCAATGAGTAAGATGATCTGGAAAATGAGAGACTGCTGACTCACATTTAGGACCTCTGAATCCACACCTAGCAAACTACTAGTTACCCATGCTGATGGTCTTAAAGGATGTGTGGTATGTGGTGAAGTAGGACTACGGCTATCTGGAATATTAGACGGCTCGGCATGTTCTAAACTCCTGATATGTTCACGCTTCAAAAGATCTTCAACGTCCTGCCATCTGCCCGACAGGATATTTTCTCGCAATGCAGTAATTTCAATGGAGGGATCAAGTGAGACCCCCGATTCGACTTCCAATGTCATGGCAGCCGCTCTAAAATGATCGTAATCAATAAGGCACTGATTTGATCATTTTGAATGTTGAATTGCTCACGGATACCCGATTTCTTTCAAACCTTGTAAAAGAAGGCGAACGACCTCTTCTCTTCCGATGTCGGACATATGGGGCCATGGCGGGTGATTAGCAGGTGGATGGCTAGATCGTAAAGTTGCATTGTCTTCGGTATCCAGATGACTGGTAGTCTTGCCATTGGCTTGAATTCCAAGGCCCAAATCTTGCAAACCATCCCGGAAAGACATTAGTAAAGAATCCAACTTGGAAGCGCTGGGACCTGGATAAGCGGTAAAGCATTTTAGCTATGAGGCTTAAGAGTTATATTGATGTTGATGGACTCACCTGTGGGATGTAGTGATGGTGGGTTAATGTGTGGTTTGATGCTTGAATCATCCAATGGAGGTTGAAGAAGCGTATGAGAACTTGATACAGCTTGTAATGATGGAGATCCTGATGAAGCTTGGGATTCATTCATTGAATCGTTCATGATGAGCGAATGACGCCGCCGTGGGCGTTTGGTGGCCCTTGAGGCTTGTTCAGACCCAATGAAAGAGTTATGCTCGGATTGAGGAAGTGTAACAGATGGATCGGCTGAAGGGGAACGAGGACGACGAGCTGGACGCAAGGAGGATGAATGTGAATGAATATCGATCGAGGCCTGGGGATTATTGATAGAGCTTGGTTGTGAGGAGATTGAGTGTGATGGATTGATGTTTGAGAGGTGCTGTTGTTGCTGAAGTGGTGGTGAGCGTTGATCGAGATAGGAATGAGTTGAATTCGAAGCCCAATTAGTAGCAGACAGTAGAGCAGGTGAGACTTGAAGGTTTGGATTGATTGACTGAAATGGTAAAGAAGATAAGGAAAGATTCAAATCCAATGAATTCATCGATTTTCACCAAATTACATCAAATCAATTTCAAACCAAAAAAAACAGTTTCAAATTCACAACAAAATCATCATCACTTCAGCATTCATCATGACTTTCCACTATCATCTTACAATCAAAAGTTAAATCGAGTTCAATAGAAACTTGATCACTCACAATGTTCAACAACAGATTCCTAGGTGATAATATAATATCATGAGTTGAGGTTTGTAGGTCTGATGAAGTATTATTGGAGTGACTGAGATGATGAGAGTGATTGTTCGAAAGATTGAGGTTGAGATGATTACTATTGCTATTCCTATCTGACTCCTCAGGTAGATCCGAGCTCATTCCTATCGAAAACCAATCTCACTGAGTTATCTTGATAACCCAAAAGAAAAATCTAAAGTTAACAGTGTTAACAATAAAATCAACAATCTATACCATCAATGTGTGATTTGCAGTTGAACCTTGAAGCAACGAAAATAAACACTGACTTAAACTTCAAACTGAGAAATAGTGTGGAAAAGTCACCAGATGATTTGCTTTCCAAGACGAATGAGTTTGAGATTGAAAGATCAGGTTCATAAATGCAGAAGGATAGGATGAGATATACGAACTGAACTCATCAACAAGGGGATTCCGATCAAACACTGTTCTTTGTCAAGACTCAAACTGTAAAATTTAAATTGATTTGAAAAAAGGGTTGCATTCTAGATTATTTAACAATTCAGTTGAGAAACAGGAGAAACTGGATCTTGACCCAGCATTTGCAAAAGACCATACATCTCCAAAGGTCATCAATCTCATTCAGATCAAACTTCTCTCTGAGTCTCAGATAAGATAGGATGATACATACAAAAAGAGACTTCAATTTCATGAACTTCAAACAAATCTTCATCCCCAACCAATCTATATCCACTTTGATTAACTAACCTTGGCTTTTCTTTGAAAGCAATCATGTCAAAAACAAGGGGACAAGTTGAACACAAACATGGCCAAAGTATCTGTTAAGAGATTCAAACAATCAATGCAACAAAGGTATCTATTTGTTTGACCATATAATTGACCGGATTAGGCAGGTATAATCATTTGTTTGATACATGGTCTGACCTTTGATATACATCTTTGCTATACCTTTGATCAAAGCCATGCTACATATAGATGAGAAACTTTGTGAATTGAAACTCAGTCTTCTTTATTAAAACACAGTAACAAAAAGATGAATGATCCGATCAGGAATGTTAGGTGCTTTCAAACTAGGAAAAAGTCGAAATGTTCACCAGAAAAATCGTCAACTGTGTAATTACAATACATGTGATACAAGACTGTAGTGCAATCATAGTTTTTCATTACATGCTTTTTTGCTCCTTCAAAATTGTGAAGCCCTACGAGGGAGGAGGAGGGAGGCCCTGGGAGGCCCCCTCCAAATACAAAGTTGAACTTTGTGATTGCACTACAGCGATGTATCAGATGTATTGTAATTACACAGTTGCGAAATAGTTACACAGTTCACATAGCATACCATAAAGTCTCCAGTGATGGCAATGCTGTACAAGAGCTGGGAACTAATCAAAATTGACTACATCAGTGATGGCAATGCTGTACAAGAGCTGGGAACTAATCAAAATTGACTACATCTTTATCTCAAGATCCTCACTCAGATTTTTAAGAGTTCAAGTAATCGATCTTAATATCAGTTGAGTATATACTCATACTCGGTACTCATTCCGTTGGAAGCTTAGATTAGGGGTATTCAAAACTCCATAAATGTGTCCCCAAAGTGTCAAGAAGTGACACCGATGAACTTCTCCTCCAAAATGTTTAGATATCACTTCTGGACACTTCTAGGAATATTTGAAAGCACCTCTAAGCCTTGATTTCAAAGCCTCTGTGCCTCTCACTTATGGAGAGGCGGCAAGTGTCAGCTCAACAACAAGTACTACAAGTTCTGAAAGGGGTATCACCCACCTCCTTGCTCACCCCATAGATGATACACTTCACCTTCCATCAGCAAAACCTTCCATCAGCAAATCATCCTTCAAACACCTCAAGATCATTATCAACTCTGCTTCTCCTGCCTCAGGTACTACCAGATTTTTCACTTAAACAATCACTTGCTCAAGTTCAGGTATCATGCTGAAAAGTAGAAGGATTGGACGGCTTGAGTATCCCAGAACCAAGACAAACAAAGTTGAAATATGGTTGGGGGAACTAGAGCTGTTGACACCCAATGTGTATCACAAATACTCAACACTTCCTTAGCTCATCATTCATATCTATTGCTCATATTTACACTGAGAATTTCTACTTATCTTGTAAGAATGAGTTTACAATTCTTGACTCAGCTCAGAAACTGCTGTATATAACATATCTAGTTTCTTTCTTATTTGTTGTCTTGTCATCAGTGAAATTACTACCACTTAGATGTATTTGTACAATTCTTGTGTTATGACACACCTGTCCATTCCTCATCATTGTTGTACATTCTGATCAAGTGAAATCTTGTCAGAATCCCATTTCACCTACACTACATGAGCTTCTGTCTCATTGGAAACATCTTCAAAATTGGCAATACTTGGCTTCAAGAACTCTCTGCAATTGAGATCATTCACACAGGCTTCTCAATAGTTTTATGAACTTTCCAGAGGTCACATTCATCAAGGTGGTAAGCTCTGTCTGTTATTTAGTGTCTTTCTTTTTTAAGCTCTGATTTGATGATATGGTCAGGTGCAAATGAAAGAGGAAAACTTCTTTACCCTGTTTTCAAGACTCAACATAACAAAGTATTTGAAGACACTTCCAGTACTCCTCAAGCACAGGTTGAAGTGAAACTCTTGGCTGCTCTAGCAAATATGGGGGAGTTGGGCAATGTCAGATAAGTTTCACTCATAGGCTGTTTATTGGGTTATTCAGGTTGGTGCTTGTTTATAAACAAACCATTTAGTGCTTTTCTGTTATTGATTGAGGTGTGGTGACGACGGGACTAGGAATCTCACTAGTCCTTGTCCCACCTCGGAAAGCTCCCTAGAAAGAGCAAGAGGTTTCACAGGAGTGAAACCCACTGCGTCAGATCTTGCCTGGTCGACCAAGCAATGATTGGTAAGATCCGCCCTGGAGAATGGTACTCAGGCACGGTCAACATGAGGTTTGGCCTTCTTCGTGTTCCTCCCAGTCACTTCCAAAGTTCCTCAGGAACTCTATCCATTCCCCTCTCTTTTCCTCGGTCTCATTCTCACGACCGCCCTTTTTCTAGGAGCTTTTTCTCTTCGCGGTTAGCAATCCTTTTTCGAACGAAAAATCTCAATTATACACAATTACGATATGGTCAGAGCGAGCCGAAGAATGAATAGGTTGAGTCCAGAATTCAAACCTGTACCGACTTCACAACCAGAGTTTGAGATCGAAACAGAAGAGGAAGAGAGAGAAAGAATAGAGAGAGGAAGAGCTAGCTAGATCACAAGCATTAAAGGAAATCAGAACCAAGAAAGATCAACGAAAGAATAAGAAAGATTTAACATTAAACAAAGATGCAACAATGGAAGACAACTTAATTTTTGATGAAGATATAGTTTTTGAAGGAGATCATTCAGAAGAGTCAGACAAGTCTTCATCATCATCAATCAAAATCGATGATACTAAGAAAGAGAAAGATAGTCAAAGTGAGTATCTAGAAGATGATTCATCCCCCTTATTCGTGATGTATTCCGAAATTTCTAAATCTGCCTTCATATGTAATACCACTCTGAGAGAACGATGTCTCGTTAGTTTGTGATTTATTCCAAACCTGGTAGTATCCACCTTCACTTACCACCTCATTCGTGATATACTCTGAATGTGTGATTACTCTTGATCGTTTATGATTTATTCCGATCTATGAATCCCAGTTGCTTAAACTGTCCTCTTCGTGATTTATTCCGAGAGCTCTAATATCGTGATATATTCCGATTTATGATATATTCCAGATCTCATTCGTTACTTAAATCGTTTAACCTCTAACGTTGAAAGAAAAATTTTGAAACTAATTCATTATTTTGCTACAGCTATGTCTATAGAATTAGCGAAAATGGCACTAGCTATGGGTAATACAAAATTAGTCGAACAATTTTTGAAATCTTTAGAAAACGCATCAGACGAAACAGCAGCAATATCGAATATTAATCCGTTGAAGAATTATAAAAGTGGACAAGTGTCAACCTCACAGCTACGAGCATTCACGTCGTACTGGGATACACACTTAAAGAAATTAGATATCCACTTAAAGTTGACTATATTTAACGATAAATGGATAGAGTTAGATCAAATGGTAAACGGAAATAATACCTCTTCCAAGAAAAAGGACAAACCAACAGGTCACCCAGCCAAAAGTGAATGGTGGTTATCCTTTGCTGATTGGACTCGGGCGAAAACGTTAATGTTGAAGTACTTGAGAGACACGTACCATCACGATCCTTTTGCAGACGAGTAAGTGAAATTACACAGTCATTCATTTAAACTATAAAACTAAAATGCCTTCACGTTTGGTCCATTGATAATCAGTTTAGAAAAACATTTTGAGAGAGTCGAGAACTTTGGTCTGAGACACGGATGGGTGACTGCATTTAGGTATGACATAATGGTTAGGACAGACGTTTTATGTAATAGGGTGAATGGCGCACCTGGAGACCCAAAGGTGCTAAGAGAGAATTTTCTAGAAGATGCGAAAGCTAGGACTGACCTGCTGAAAGATGGCCGCATACTGTTATTAGATGACCGTAAGTTATACAATTGATATTAAAATATCGTTACTTGATTTTGTTTATTCGTAATCAATAATTAAAATTTTATTTGTTCGGAATTTAGCTTACGCGAAAGGTAACGCAAAAGAACGATTCAGTCCAATAACGGGGAAAAAGTATCCAGATAGTGTTGACCACGACTCAGCAGAATTAAATGAGTTTGATGTTGACCAAAACGAGTCGAATGATTACTTGAAACCTCCTTCTGTTAATAGGAATGAAAGTTTCAAGAAACAAGACAATTACAATCAAAGTGGAAACTATCAAATGAATAATAGAAGAAATAATCGAGGAAAGTTTAGAAGGGACAGGTCTCCAGGACCTTACCAAAGATACGATAGACCTAATGATAAAGAAGTGTTTGATCCAAAAGGGAAAGGAAAGCAAACGTAAGCTAGAATATGCTGATTGAGAAAATCAGAAGTAGAATGTGACGATTCTTTTTCTACACAGCAACAAGTCGCAATGGTACAAAAAGCCAGATGATTTCCCAAGAGCGTCAACATCAAAAGATAATCAGACGTGAGTAAATGTCTTTTCAGAGAACCTCATTTGGAAGAGGATGATATTGTTGTGTCGTTGTTTCATTTGTAATTGAGTATGCGTGTTATGCAATGTTTTTGGTTATAATTGTAGTTTAAGTTTCGCAAGTAATGAATTCATAGATCAGTTGAAACACAACATCGATAGTGAGCATCAGACAAAGGCTGAGCCAAAGGTTCCATGGCCGGCAAAAGTGAAATGTGACATGAACATTGATGTTTCGGAAAGACAATTGATAAAGTACGGATTGATAGAAAAATATAACTACTTACTTAAAGGTCTTAGAGAAGGCTTTCATCAAGGTGTCCCGGTTCATAGAGTGAAAGATTTGAAATATTATTGTCCTCCGAACCACAGTTCAGCAAATAATGCAAGATTGAAGATTGAATTGAACATAGAGAAGGAAGTAAAAGCTGGAAAGATGTTCGGTCCGTTCGATAAAGAAATAGTTTACAGAAATCTAGGTTTTTTCCGGACGAGCCCCTTAGGAGCCGTAGAGAACGCAGACGGGACTTTCAGGCCAATTAATGATATGTCATATCCGAAGTTCGACAATGACATCAGATCAGTGAATTCCTATGTGAACAAAGAAGAGTTTGAAACGACTTGGGACGATTTTAAAGCCGTAGCCACATTCGTGAAAAATTTGAAGAGAGACGTGTTGATGGGGATTTTCGATTGGGAGGGTGCATACCGACAAATCCCAACGCACCCATCACAATGGCCGTACTTAGCAATCATGGACTTCGAAGATCGTGTTTTCATAGACATTATGATAGCCTTCGGAGGTGTGGCTGGTTGTGGCTCCTTCGGCGGTCCCGCAGACGGGTGGAAAGAACTGATGAAAGCTATATTTAAGTTAATGGAGGTTTTCAGATGGGTAGACGACAATTTGATGATTAAATACAAAGAAGATACAACTACGATGTTAGACATAGTAGCAGCAAGTGAAGAACTCAGCGTAAAGACTAATGTTACTAAATACTCAGAGTTTGCGGAAGAACAGAAGTTTATCGGTTTTATTTGGAACTGTGTCGAGAAAACTGTAAGGCTTCCTGACAAGAAACTGGTAAAAAGGCGTAGAGAGGTAGATGAGTTTTTACTGAAGGATTTGTGCACTAAGAAAGAGCTACAAAAATTCAACGGGAAATTGAGCCATCTGACTCTAATATTGCCACAGTTGAAGTGTTATCTGACAGAAGGTTTTAGATGCGTAGCCGCTTGGAGAACGCCGGGAAGAAGACAAATCACCGTAGACTTAAGAGAAGACATACTCCATTGGAAACAATACTTAGAGAATTTGAATCCCACCAAGATAATCCCAGACCACGTGATACAAAACGTGGGCTGGGTCGGCGACGCCTCGACTGAGTATGGAATAGGTATAATCATTGGCAAGAAGTGGTCTCAGTTCCAATGGTTGCCCGGTTGGGACCAGCCCCCTGGCAGGCCAAGGCGAACGATCGCCTGGGCCGAAACGGTAGCGGTCCGTCTGGGACTTCTTATGCTCGAAAAGAAAAGGAAGGGTCAAGGTTTATCTATGGCTGGTCTGAAATTTTCTTGCCTCACAGACAACACCACGACAGAGGGCGCGGCGCGTAACCGGAAATCAAAGGATTTTTGGGTCAACAGGGAGTGGCGCCTGGTCCAGGACATGCTGGTAGGCTACGATTGTGATCTGAACCTAGTCCGGGTTACATCTGAAGATAACGAAGCCGACAAGCTTTCGCGTGGCCTCGATCCTTCAAAAGGCAAAGAAAACGTGGTCGCCATCGATGTGCCAGAAGACCTAGTCCCCCTCTTGTCGCAAGTTTTCCCCACCCAAACTCAACCTCATGTCTTCAGCAAAAAGAACCCTACGTCAGACGAGTCCTGGAGTTTTTAGACATATGAACACTGTCAGTGAGCGTATTCTGGAATATAGTTGGGCAGCTTCAACGACCCGGAAGTACGCGGCAGCAGTGAACAAATATTTCGCTTTTATGAACTCTTTGATTTTCCCCTTCCCCACGTCAGCGAACGACATCTACCATTTCGTCTTGTGGTGCAACGATTCTAATAACGACAAAACAGTAGTGAGCGCGACGACGAAACGTTACTTGACTGGGCTCCGGATGTGGCACACCTTGCATGGTGTTACCTTCCCTACGCTTGATTTCGACCGCCTACGTCTGTTACTGAAGGCAGCCAAGAAATGCGAGACCCGGGATCTGTCACGCGTCCGAGCAGGCCTCACTCTGATGGACGTGGACTTTCTTATAACGCGCCTACAAGGCAACTCCGTACCAAATGTCGTATTACGTGGGGTCATCTTGGTCGGTTTCTGGGGACTAGCACGACTGGGCGAATTGACTCGCCATGATGACCACCCCCTCGTATTCGTCCGCCGCCGCGACGTTAAGTTTGCACACGACCTTTCGGCGGCCACGGTGTTGATCAGATTGGCAAAAACGGCGGCGCCAGGCGAAGAACAATTCTTGCGACTTAAAAGACAACCAAACCGGCTAGACCCCGTGAAGGCACTTCAAGATATTTTGGATCTCTCCCTAGGTGGTCCAGATGATCCCCTGTTTTGAGGCGTCTCACACACCACCCCTATCGGAAGAGGAACCGTACTGACGGTTTTGAAGAAACATCAGCCGGCAGGAAAATCCTTTTGGTCAGGGCATAGCTTACGAATAGGGGGTGCATCACTGATGGCGAATTTGGGATGTTCCAAGAGGGCGCTAAAGCGTGCGGGAAGGTGGCATTCTTCCTCGTATAAGTTGTACATACATAGGTACTCACCGAAGGTCTTGCAGGGTACGAAGTTGTTAGCTCGGTGGCTGAACAGAACGAATGAGAGATGACTGTCCTTGCATAGCTGTGTAATACAATTTCTTCGTCTGCGTTTTCTACCTCGTGTGCCCCTGTTGCAAATGAATCTCGTAGTGCCTGAATTGAAATGCTCTCGGGAGCTTCTGCCTCCATGAGTGCGGGTTGCGATCACCTTCGCAGGATATCGGCTCATAAAGCCTTCTCTCCCTGAGGATGGGTTCGAAAGGAATCCCTCCCCGCTCTCATGTGCGCTACCCGACCCAAAGACTGGAATCTGAAAACTCTAGTGTTTTCCTCCAGTCTGATGTCGAGGTAGAGGTTTGTCTCCCGTAGCAAGCTACCCTCACCCTCGAGACCTCTCGAGGGCAAGTGTAGCTAAAGCGCAACTACCTAGCGCACGTAAGAGGGTGTGTCGACGACACACTCGTCTTACCAGTCACTCCTCCCACACTGCTAGGAGAGGAGTAAGACAAGGATTGAGGTGTGGTGACGACGGGACTAGGAATCTCACTAGTCCTTGTCCCACCTCGGAAAGCTCCCTAGAAAGAGCAAGAGGTTTCACAGGAGTGAAACCCACTGCGTCAGATCTTGCCTGGTCGACCAAGCAATGATTGGTAAGATCCGCCCTGGAGAATGGTACTCAGGCACGGTCAACATGAGGTTTGGCCTTCTTCGTGTTCCTCCCAGTCACTTCCAAAGTTCCTCAGGAACTCTATCCATTCCCCTCTCTTTTCCTCAGTCTCATTCTCACGACCGCCCTTTTTCTAGGAGCTTTTTCTCTTTGCGGTTAGCGATCCTTTTTCGAACCCACATGTATCTTACATTCCCTCCCGCCCACGGTTCGAAAGGAATCCCTCCCCGCTCTCATGTGCGCTACCCAACCCAAAGACTGGAATCTGAAAACTCTAGTGTTTTCCTCCAGTCTGATGTCGAGGTAGAGGTTTGTCTCCCGTAGCAAGCTACCCTCACCCTCGAGACCTCTCGAGGGCAAGTGTAGCTAAAGCGCAACTACCTAGCGCACGTAAGAGGGTGTGTCGACGACACACTCGTCTTACCAGTCACTCCTCCCACACTGCTAGGAGAGGAGTAAGACAAGGACTTCTTTGTTGCGAGTTTCAGATGGAAGTGTTCAAAACTACGTGAGGCAACTTATAGCGGCAATCCTTGGATTATAGCCTCAAAATCTTAGCTGGCTATTCCCTCATGTACTTGCAAAGATCAAGAACAAGATTGCTCACAATGACCCTGTTTTGAAGGGATGTGTGGGGTTTATTGACGGGACACTTACCACCTTAGGGTTTGGTCCCATGTGGTGGGCACACCCAGTAACCTTGTTATTGCTCATAACCTTTGCAATCTGAGTGAACAAGCTTGTTGCATGTGCTTTAAGCTTTGGAAGCATCTATTCAATGATGGGCACAAGAAAACTCAAAGACTATCACTCAGTAAAGATATCTACATTAAAGTAGATATCACATGTTGAGCTCAGTGTGAAGGATGAGTGTGCCGCTGCTAGGGCCTTTGACAAAGGTGGGACCATTGTTGACAGAAACCATAACAATGCCAATGACACTCATGATGGAACAATCTAACAAGTCATGGGACATGGATTATATTATATGTATTTGAGTACTTCAATAGGTTTATCTTGATAAAATATGTTTCCTTTCTTATCCTGAGCCAAACTGCTGGCAGTTAGTTTACAGTCAAATATGTGTGTTTTTTGTACTCCTCTGGCGCCTTTTGCACCCCCAGCAAAACTAGGCATGCCCGGGGCACTCCCTTTTTGAAAAGTCACACCCACAGCACAAGTTCTTATACATGTATAGATAAAATTCGATATTGAACCCAGACTTAGCTACTAGCTAATAAGTGAGATGAAAAGAAAAATTTAGAAAAACAATCATGGAGAAGAGGGATCATTGCAATCTCAAACAGCTGTGGAGATCAGCCAAACTTGAAATCAACGTTATGTACATTAAACAATTATGAATATGTCTATTTGAGTAGTATATATTTGACTGGTCCGTAGGATTCAGATTACTTGATCCTTGAGATTTACATCCCAATGAATATCACATGAAACAAAGAGATATTTTCCCAGTTTCTGAGCCAAAACACAGCAATAATGCAGAAATAAGGCTACAATAACACATTTTGGCTCATCAATTCTGTTGAACGCAATGGGGTTTCCCAAGGGAAAATCACTTCTTTGTTCCTGTGTATGGTGATGACTTGAGGACTTAAGATGAAAGTGAAAATAAAAAACCAAAAGATGAATCATGGTGAAACTAGACCAACAAAAGGAATGAAGTGAAGTTTGGGAATACAGTCAAACTATCAACATGTCAAGAATTATAGTGGGACCTATGGAATTGTAAGTCTCCTTTCCACCAGAAATTGAAGAATCTTATTGTAATTCAGAGAAAATTTCTGAAACTTGGTGTGCATCTTTGATATCAGGATACTGAGATCATGCTGACAAATGAAAAACTCTTGCATCAGTTATCTTTGTAAATATCATGTCCATTGGCTACCAATCATTGGATTGGTAGCTCTCTTGGATCCTCCTGAAATACTATTCTCAATCCTCAAGAATATGCCAACACAACCTCTGTCCTTACTCTCTCAACAGCCAAATTGGCTCAATCTTGTGAATATAAAGATCCTGTTGGATCCAGAAGGTTTGAGTAGGCAGTCTCATGAATTCTGTCAAAGTAATCATCTATGTAGCTTGAAACCTTAGGATTTGTTTATATTGCTTAACCTCCTTTCTGCTTGGGAAAATCTTCCACCTTTAAAAATTTAAAATAGTTCCAAGAAGGTTTTGCCCTGTCCACTCCATCAATGGTTGCCACACAGGCTCTAGAAGGTGGGTGTGTTTTGAATGCCTAAAAGTGAATCTCAACAAACTTTTCCTGGTGTTCTCTCTCTTTGCTTTGAGGAATTTTGTGCAGTCTATTGGTATTAGAACTCAATACCAAAGAAACGTGTAGTTGAGGTCCTTCAAAATTTATAACAAATATTGGATCCTTGTGACTTTCTTTTATACTTGAATCTAAGCCTTGAATTTGACACATAGGAGGTTTAACCATCACTCTTCTGCTTTTGCCCCTTGAATTCTTAACCTTAATTGGGCTATCCTTGAGTTCAAAGATCATGTTTGTACCTTGCAAGCACTGCTTCAAAAATGTGGTTGTATCTGATGCAGGATACACCGTTCACTCAGATATTTATCTATACTTCCAATTTGCTTTGCAGTGTCTGCTTGGAGCTGGTGAGGTGTCCAAAGACAGTTGTTCATATATATGTGACATGACCATAAGAAATGGGTGGCACAAAACTATTGTAAACATGGTTGGAGAGAAGATAGTTTTTCCATCATTGAGTAGAATCTGGATCTATCCTTTGTGAATATATTGTTGTGTTGACTGAAAAACTATGGGGTCTTATTTCTTTCAATGTATCTAAAGAAGTGAATCAAGGCTTAATTTCTGTATAGCTGCTTGTGGTACATACCTCTATTTGGATTTTTGATGACACCTGAGTATGTATCCTATTCCAGATAGTGTTGGTCATGCAATTTGGTAAAAGAGAGAGAGAGTCAAAAGGCAAAGGAATTTCACCCCAAACATGACAAAATAGTCAGACATGAAGACAAAAAAATGCAAAGATCTTGATCCCCAGCAACCAAATTGCACGCCAGAATATCATAGGCTCTTAGTAGTAAGCATCTTTAAATTACCACCTCCCAGCATAGCTTATCTGGTAATCCTCAACTGGTAATCATCGTCGGAGGACACGCCGGAGATGCACTCATATCCTACAGGACGCTGTGTAATATGCTGTACATATATCATATGTATGCGATACATTTTAATGTATGACCCCTAAGGTTCCCTAGAAACCGGTCTAAAGCTAAACCCATAGATCTCCGGTAATTCATCTGGATCAACTTAAAAGGATCTCCGTGTGACGACATCACAGAACATCACAACTTCAACTTCAAAACTTTCAAACCAAGAACCGATCACTACTACTTTCAAGCTAAGCTTCAAATCCAATTCAACCTCAAGTAATCATTCTCGAATGTCAGCTAATCGTCGTATCGCCAAAGTAAGTGGAAATTTTGATTTTAGCTAATGCAAACATAATCAATCCCTTGGTTTCTCTTATATATACTAATTTTCTTGAATCCCTTTTTGTTTTCTTTTTCAATCTTTGTTTGCTTTTAGGAATATGCTGATTTACAAAGTAATCCAATAGATAATGTAGAAATGGAACCAGATGAGAATAACGTCTTACATTGGACAGGTAAATTTTAAAGATCACTTTAACTCATGAACTTTTCTGAAGCAAACTAATCATTTGATTTTCATAGGTTTTATCAATGGACCTGTAAGCTAGTAACTTCCCATTTAATCTACATTTCAGACTGGATCATCTGACCTCCTTGATATTTCATAAAGGTAGATTCTATTTACCATGGTTCGTCATCTTACTCAAATTCGTTCACTCATTTTGAAATCACCATACTGACTCCGAAGAAACTTTTTATTCCTTCAATTGATTTATAGGTGGACGTTTTAAAATCGAAGCTACTTTTCCATTAGAGTATCCATTCAAAGCACCCGTTCGTATACCAAACCCAACCAATTCATTATCTTTATAAATTTCATAACACATCATAATTATTGACAAAAAACGTTTTACTCCTTTCTCTAGACAATCAAATTTATCACTCGAATTTATCATCCAAACATTAATCATGAAGGTTCATTATGTGTAGGAATTTTAAAAGCAGATGCTTGGAAACCTTCTGTAAGAATCGAACATGGTTCGTGTATAAATCATCATCAAATCAAATTCTTTGTTTCTTTTTGGTCCAAAGTAACTAAGTTAACTTTTTCCCACAAATTCTCAACATTCATTCATGTCCAAAACAGTACTTAGGACAATTGTCAACTTACTTGTCGAACCGAATCGTACGCAAAACCCAACAAGTTCTGATAATGTTGTGCTTCTTCTTGCTCATTCGCTGATTTATCTTCCTTGACATTCTATTTTGGTTCAACTTTAGCCGATGATGCCATAGTGGCTGATATAGCTGAACAGTATATCAAAAATCGGGAAATTTTCAATTTAACAGCAAAGGAGTTCATTCGTAAGGTAAGTCTCTAACTAAGGCTTATATACTGATCCATTCAGAATGTAGTGTTGACCCATGAAAACTCTGCAGTATGCAACTTAGGCGAACGAAGATCACATGAGGTTGTGAGATTATCAATTGTAGTGTACGAATGTGTTATGAAGGATGAATTTTTAGTCCAGATTTGAACAGGGTTATGATGCGACTTTGGCTGCAAGCCTCTGATCAACAAAAATGAAAAGTTGAAAGGACCATTTTGTTTTCCAGTGATATGTCAGTTACAAGAGTTGATACATATATATATATAATTATAGATTAGTTTAAATTTAAATGGAAGTGACATACGCGAGTTTCCTCTGGTGTGAAATGTAGTATTACACCCAATACACGAACTAGATGAGGCTGGTATGGACAATCTGATCAGTTTGAGAATCACAGATAAGAGGTAGTTATCATGTAACGCACCCGCATATCTTTATGTTCTAAAAATTGAAGGAGAGTGTTACGCAGGTATTCAAAATTGAGTTCAGCCTCATCATTGGTAGAAGAAGGAGCATCCGATCGAGTCAAATCATGTGATTCTGGCGGTGGACTTTGAGAAGATCTTTCCAAAGTTGTTTCCTTGGATGGGTAGGAAGGTGGAGTTGGTGTTGAATCAGTATTAGAGAAATTGGCAAAATAGCCAACACCTTTAGACCTAAGATTTTCATTAGAGAGTACACCCGATTGAACTTTTCTTAATTCATCTCTAAGAGTTTGAGCTTGTGATCGGATTGAACTTTCTCGCTCTTGAGTTTCTTTCAAAGCTTTTTCTAAACTTTCAATCTGAGAGGCTCGTGTTGATGATTCTACCTTGATTGTTTGCTACATTCAGGTCATAAGATGTTAGCGAGTATTGGAAAGATTGGCAGAATGATAAGACCGACCAATTCTTTCGTCAGTTGAGTTAACGAGTCATTTTGAGTTGCTCTGGCCTTTTCAGCCGCGGCTATCTGATCCTGTAAAGTTTTGATTTGCGCTGCACTCTTGAGAATTTGTTCGTTTCTTTCAGCCATATTTTGCAAACTGTCAGCGTACTCGAGGCTCTTAATATGTGCCTCCGAGCGCATCAGTTCGATATCTTTCAGCCTCTGTTTGAGAGTATCGCCAAGCTCGTGCTCTAGATCTGTACGTTCTTTCTCCAACTGTGAAATTCGAGTGTTGAGGATAGTAGTTTGAGTAAGATGTTGAGATTGCAATTCACTTAGAAGTCTTCGATATCCATCTTCACCTTTCCCTTGAGTTGAAGAAACTTGTCGAAGGTTCTCAACTTCTTCTAGCAGAGTGGTGAGCCGATCCTGTGCATCACTGAGTTGATGTTGTAATTCCCCAGCTTTTCCTTGGATCTCATCATGACGAGTTGTGGTGGTCTCGATTTCGGCCTGCTGTGTCTGAATACGTTCAAAAAGATTGTCCCTTTCCGCACTCATCTCTCGCAAACGAGCTTCGAGTTGAGAAATTTTAGTATTCCGTGCAGCTGTTTCTCTTTCATAAGCAGCCTTGCCAGTAATAGCATCAAGTTCGTACTGGGATTTCTTAGTGGTCGCATCTCGTTCGAATTGTGTGCGCATAGATTGAATCTCACGATCGAACGAATGTCGCATCTTCGATAATTGCTGCTCCTGCGCAATTCGACTCTTGGAAAGTTCTTCTTCAAGTCGAGACTTTTCCTTTTGTAATTCACTTAATTTATTATTAGATTCGGTTTGAAATTCATTAAATGTTGTTTCAAGAGTAGTTTTATCCTTTTCAGTCTGTACCAACTTTTGACGAACTGCCCTTAAGAGACTAATAGATTTTGATCGCTTGTCTTCTTCTACTTTAACTTTAGATTGAAGTTGATTTACTTCAGCTTTCAAAGTTTCGATTTCTTTCGCATAAAGGGCTTCTGTTTCTGCTTTGGCATCATTTGCGTCACGTTCGGATTGGGTTGAAGGTCCAGGCTGAGTAGGTAAGAGAGGTTCAGGTCTTTGTTTGCGTGCTAGTCAAATTAAAGAAAAAAAACCATCTAAATGAAGTAAGACGCGTGAGAAGTATAAATCAAAGTTGATAATCATCACACATACCATTTGATAATTCCAAAAGTTTTGCAACATTAGGCGTATTTGTTTTAGGGTCACTAGCAAAACTAGATAAAAGGTTAAAAAGTTGATCGAAACTCTCTTCATTAGAAAAAGCTGGAAGTAAAGCCGAGATGATGTCGTCCAGAGGATTTCGAGAGGTTTGATTGAGGTTTTCTTGAATTGGCTGAGATTGAAGAATAGTTGCTGGTGAAGATGGGCTGGTTAGTCCTTTTGATGGATCTGATGATGATAGGTCAGACTTTCTCTCGATGGTAGAGTCCTGATCCTTGGGAGACAGTATGGGCGATGTTGGTAGAGGGACATTGGCGGCCATATTGAGAAAGTGCTGAAACAAGAAATTGGAATGGTGGAAGTGGAAGTGTGTTTGGTTCTTCGTGAAACAATCAATCTTGTATATGTAAGCTACATATGTAACTTAAGTTCTCCATAACTCCATCTTAAGCTTAAACTCCATTGCTCTTTTGAATCTGACCACTGATTTCCTTTTTCCTCTCATTCAAACATCTTTGCAATCCGTTTGTCGATGACTTTTGCAATACCACTCTCAATCTGAATCCCTCTACCCAATTATGTACGAAGCAACTGAGGGCTTCGACTCTCTTACACCTCAGTGACATTCAAATGACCTCATGAATTCCTCAAACCCTCACATGTATACTTGGCATGCAGGAATCATGTCTAGGCATGCGATATTTCAGCCATACGTAGCATTTTTGAATCCACAGCTTTTTCAGCCTTTGAAACAATCATGATCGGTACAAACAAATCAGATTGTACTGCATGTACTATATATTTGCAAAAGTAAAGAGGTAGACCCGAAAGCACAGCAAACAAAAGACATCTTAAATCCTCTCAAGTATCAGACCAACTGCTTCGATAGATTGAAGGCGGTGCAAAAGGAACAGCATTGTCTTTTGCCGATCGACCTTGGCAACATACCTTCAAGCTTTGAGGATTTCCTAAGATTTGATTCGATTGAAGAGCTCATATAGTAACAGTTGCTTACCAATCCAAGATTTCACAGTACAAAGTGTGAGTGAAACAGTTTCTTTTTCTTGGCAGCCGAGAATTACTCTTTAAAAGACTCTCTCTCTCTCCTTCTTTGAACAAGTCTCTCTTCAGAATCTCATCAAATCACTTCGTACAATATATTTCTTTCATCACTTTCAATCAAACTACATCACGACCATCAACTGGAAGCTCAAGTTGGTGATTTTCTACTTCATCATCTTCTTGAATTGTTGATGTTTAACTGATGCTTATTTAAAATTTAGATCCAATCATCCCATTCTCAATTTTTCATTCAAGCTTTCTCAGTTTAGAAATTCACTCGATCTTCAGGTGAGGTTTCAATACGATCTCGTTCAATTTTGTCAAGTTCCACACTATATCAAGTTTTTCTTCAACTCCATCTTAATAAAGATCATTTTGATATGTTCATGTGAGCAATTGTGATCACCAATTTTGGCTGAAATGGAATATCGATATCCTAGCATGAGTTCAGAAAGTCTTGATTTTACATCACTTTCCTCATCGTAACTCACATCACACACCATGTTCACCTTCACATTCGGCCATTTGATTTTCTACACCTTTTAGTTCAGAGTTTTCACCTCTCTCCATCACCTTATACCTGGTTTAAAACTTGAATACAACGTACTTAGCTGTACTCAGTCGCTGTCCTCCGGTTATGTAATATGCATATGGTGGATTTTTGCCACCATTCATTCTGATTCCCATCCCTTCTCGAGCCTTCTCGATTTCAAGTCATTTTCTATCCTATACACAGCCGTACATAGTTGAACTTGAGTGATCTTGTGGGATTGGCGCGCACTTTGCCTTTTTGGCGCATTGCGTTTTTCTTTTCATCAAGCAAAATCCCTTTTACCACTTACCTTTTCACCCGTTATATCGTGCGGGTTCGTCTGGTTTGGTCTGAGCGTCTTCTTGGTCAAGTCAATGACAACGATTAACTGAGAAGATACTGTTTAGAAAACCGTCTTTTGATATGTGTAAATCTGATTTTGAGGCTGTCAGAGATCCTTGAGTACATTTTCTCAAAAGATTGGCTTGGTTCGGTTCAGTCTTAATCCTCCTGGCAGGATAGTTACCGAGAGAGCTCAAGTGAGTCTTTGGTAATTCATTTGTAAGCTTTGTCATAAACCAAGCATCGCCTTCTTTCACCTCAGTCCTACTTTTTCCTTACTTAAACTCACTTCATTCGTCTGATCTACTTCCCTGAAACCAACTGCATAGCTTTTGATTAAGTTATACCTGCTTCACCATAAAAACCCTCTACTTTCTTAAAACCCTCTCATTGCAAACGCATCACATCAAACCATCTTCACATCCAATACTTAATCTCGCTCTCGTTTGATCATCTTTGCAGGTTCTATCCATCATCAAGTCAAATCAAATATCCTAAAATGCATTCAGTCGCATCTACCTTCATCCTTACCGCTGCTGCCTCAGTTTACCAAGTAGCTGCTCAAAGCTCTACTACCTCAAGCTCTGCTACACCTGCTTCTGGGTCAAGTGCCAGCACTGGAGGAGTTACTAGTCTCGTCGCTGGTCTATCTTCGTCTTGTCAAGCTGCTGCTGGTTCTTTACTCTCGAGCGAATTTGGTTCTTGTGCCAACATTATTGGTCTAGTCTCTGTGATTGGATCGAAAGGATCAGTTGTTCCTTCCTTGAATGTAAGCTTTACTTTCATCATCCGAAACCAAACAGTATTTTAATGTCTCGATTCCACTCTCAACAGACTTGGATCTCTGGAATTTGTACCTCAAGTCCTTGCTCAGATTCGACTCTCTCAACTGCTCAATCGAGCATCAACACTGGATGTTCCGATGATGTGACTAAAGGAACCGCCTCCGCTGTCTCTTTGACCACCATCGTTGGAAACTACAAGCCTATCAGGTAAGCCATTCGATTCTCATTATGATATTCATTTATCTAGAACCTTTCTGACTCGTTACCTATTCTAGAAACATGCTTTGTACCCAATATGTCTCCAACGGCACTTACTGTGTGCCTGGAATCCTTACTGACATCCAAAACGCCTCGGGAAAGAACATCTCCGTCACTGAGGTTCAAGGATTACTTACCCAAGGTTCAAGTGCTCTTCAAACCATGCTTGGAAACATCCCAAGTGTCAGTCGCACATTCTCTTCTACACATACACTTTAATTTTCACTTACCTTTGCCTCACGTTTTCAGGGAACCTATTGTACCGATTGTGGTAAAGCTATCTTCATTGAAGCTGCTCAGATCAAAGCCAATGGAACTTCTACCAACGCTACCGCTGCATCTGGATCTTTAGGATCTCAATGTGGAGCTTCCTTCGTGGATGGAAACTTACCTTCAACCGTTAGAATCGGAAGCGCTGCCTCATCAGCCAAGAACAGTGGAGTGGCTCAAGTGGCTCCTCAATTCTTTACTCTTGCTTCTTTGTTATCTATGGCTGCCTACGTCATGGTTTAAAAGAGAGATTCATCATGCACCATGTAGAACACGATTTGTATCACTACAGAGAAATTGTGTACGATCCCCTACATGTATGATAGCCAAAATAAGCTGGTCCTTTCCTTCTCGATAGTTTTTCATTTTACTCCCATGTCTCTTTGTTCTTAATGCTTTACTTTGGTCTACGCAAATCGAATCAATATCAATTGATTACTCAAAAAAATCGTCTTATTCTTCTCACTGGTTTCTCTATCTCCTTTTTGTCATTGTATCGGAAGTACATAACACCCATTACCAACTGCATCAGCGTAATTAACAAGAATATTGTGAAAAACACGAAACTTTCGAGGCATTTTGACCGATGGCATCACTGCGTCAAATTATTTTCTACTTATTGACATTCAATGGCAGCCTCAATTGATCCCTGACCCATGGAACACACATTGGAACAACGTGTAGGCCCGACCCCCATCCAATACTCTACATCTCTGCATTCCACTCAACGCAAAGAGTGAAAGTTGTCTTGATGGTCTGAGTGTGACAAGTAAAATAAGACATTCTACATCTGCTCAACATTTATCAGTGATGATCGATTTGTTCTGATCGGAAATGCATCCTCCAAGCAATCATCTACATTTCATTCAAATCAAACTTCATTGTTACCACTGACGGGATTTGACACAAATATCAAAAGCAAAACACTATTTTTCATTTCAAAAGTTATCCAAAAAACACCTCAACAATTACATACTACTAGCAATTTCTCTTTCTCCAATCGTAGCATTCGCATCTTGATTATTCACATCCGATTGATTATTCCCATCATTTTTCTTAGGTTTTGATCTACCCCAACGCACCATCACTTCTTTTCCTGAGATTTGGACTCTAACACTACACCTACTAGCGGCATCTTCTGCTACACCTCTATTAATAAAATTGATAAATGCACATCTTGAAGTAGGTACTACAACTACTGATTTGATCTTGTTACTTTCGATTCCAATCGAAGTAAAAAAGTGTCGAATGATAGATTCGTTGGTAGCTTCTGGTGGTAAAGATGATAGGAAAAGTGAAACGATCGATTCGTCTTCAGGTGGAGTAAGACCTGTTGAATTTGCATAGGTTGATAAAATCTTTCGTGCTACTGGATCATTTCGTCCGTGATCTGAACAAAAAGGAAATGGATCGAAAATCAGGCATGGTTTTGAAAATGTTGATTGAGAGATTTGAATACAATCTTACATCGATCTTGGATATTCTGTTTACTTAATTCATTCTCAACTGGTAACTCGTGACGATAAGGACAACCATCACCACGTGCGCATTCTCCTTTGGCATAAAATGAACAGATATGAGGTCTGTTTCGTTTCTAAAGAATCAAGTCGATAACATATCATAAGCGATGATGTGACCGATTCAAATGAAGTAAAGAAGATGTTTACATAGTAAGGATCCGTTCGAGCCAATTTTTTCAAAACATCCTTTCCACCTGCATCTTGACGATCATAATTAATCATCTCAGAAGTCCCCTCCAACTGATTCTCCATCTGAAATTTCACCATCACATCAATCGACGCGTGATTGAGAAATACCAAGTCAGCTAAAAGTTAACGACCAAGAAAGTGTATCGAAATCTTATGAATGAAACCCGTACTAACGTTTTGAGCAAAATACTCTCGATTGATATTACTAGTAGGTGCTTTAGAATTTAAACCAAGTGCAGTATCTCTAACTTGAGTAGGTAAACCATACTGAAGGTCAAGTAAACAAGTTTGACAAACATTCTTCAATTTAGCACAAGTTTGACAAATCTCAGTTTTCTTATACCTCATTCCTGCTCCAGGTAACCATCTAAAGATTGTAAATGGTCTAGTACAAATTTTACATTCCTTTCCTAATGATTGTTTTGACATTCTCACATATGGATTCGCACCTAAACATGTCTCGCAAAGAATAGGAAAATCTGAATCTTCTTGTCCGGCCTCTTTTGAAATCGATCGGTGGATCCAAAGATAGGAATTCGATTCAGTTCAACGTCATCTTGAGATTCAGGAGAAAGGAGTGAGGAGTGAGAAGTGAACTGACTGTTTAAATCATCTGTTGAATACCAAACGAACGAATAAGTTCAAACCCAAGGTAAAATGTCAGATACCACATGAAAGGAGGTGTTAGAGATTATAACCAATGAACTCAGAAATGAAAGTTGCTGGTACGTTTTGGAGGCATCGTTCTTGATGATATGTGGTGAGATCAAGAGGGCGACGAACTGACTTGAACTCAAAATGGACGGTCTGAGGAAGTCGCGATACACCATATCATACATAGGGACATGATATGGCTTGAGACAGGTCTGGAGAATTATTGACAATTTCACAGAGTGAACATCCCCAATGCCAAACTTGACCTTTGGGAAAGAAAAAGTCCAGAATCCTATTTTGAGCATTGATATTGCAAGATATGTATAGTTGCCTTGGGCCGTAATGTAATCATGGAGCAGGCAGTTTTGAAAAGCCCATGATGTAAAACTCCAGTAACTCACTCTCTGAACAGCGTTCAAGATAATGACGGTCTTTATCAATCATATCATCTGGCCTAAGCTGTGCGGATTTCTAGTGTGGGTGTAATGTTTCCTGCTTTGCCGTTGTAATGGCCGGCGGTGAAGCAAATTTGACTCGGCGCCATTGATTAAGACATAGATTTGGAGTCACTCACTCACTCCAGTTTCATTATGGACTATCTTGCATGCACATGAGAATCTCGTTGATGGCTGCCGCAATTATGGCTCATCATGGTTGATCATATATTACATGGTCAAACGTGAATATACTTTCATCGATAATTCGATTGAAGTATCCACAATATTGCTACAAAACGATGGGCGTTGCCCACCTTGCCTGGATGAGCTCCGGGGGTTAGGGCACCCGCAAGGTTGGGCTTGTGTTATTCACTCGCTCTCGTCACTCATGAAGCATACCAAGCCTTTTTCGGTCAATGCTGAGGTGATCACAAGAGCACTCCGCTGTAGCTCTCCTCATTACTTATGCAACGTAGAAATCCACAGACGGCGTATGATTTAAATTCAGGAACCATCAATCCTGAAATTGTTACAATCAATGATCAGAGGGAGGATGAAGAGACGTAGAAATGGGCGACAAAGTGGAATAGCTCTTGTCATCATGTTCGAGCAGATTTATATATAGTCGATTCGCTTGCCTTTGATATCTCTGAATCTTTACTCAGTCTTTCCATTTTCAATAATTCCATCCAGACGCCATTATCCTGAGCTTCACCAAAACGTTCTTTAATTCTTTCGAACATAAACCTCTTTTTCAAAACAACAAAACAGGCCGAGCCTTATAAGCCTTTAAAAACTTCAGTCATCAACTGTTTACTTTCTCGTCGATCGATTAATCATTTTTCAACTCTCTTTCTCATCGATTCTTATAACTTCAAATAATTTTACTTTTACCTCCACCGTCTCTTAAAATGATTTGTCTTAGTCCCTTGGTCACTTTTGGATGCTTTGTCTCTTTCATACATCAAGCTTCTGGTGCAAGCTTGCCACGTTCTCCCGCCATGTCCGAGGCTTCCGCCATGGCAGACGCTTCTAGTAAGGCCAGCGGCGGTTCCAGTATGGCCAGTGCTTCAAGTATGGCGAGTGCTTCAAGTGGCGGAGGGATGTCAGCGGCCAGTCCAGCAATGGCGCCAAGCGGTAGTGGAAAACCTACAAATCATCAGATTATTGTGGGCGGCGAGAAAGGCAGGATCTACACGCCGAACAACATCAAAGCAGCGATCAACGATACGGTCACCTTCATGTTCCAGGTTTGTAGATTCATCATAATTTGCATTAGTTGTGTCTCGTTGATGATATTCTAATCATTTGCTTCATTTTTTCCTTACGTCATAAGATCAAGAACCACACCGTAACCCAATCTGCCTTCGCAGAACCCTGCACTCACCTCGTAAACATGACTTCGAACCAGTCTGGATTCCGTTCAGGATTTGTACCTGTCGCGTCAGTATGATGGTTCTTCTACATACCCATCAGCCTGAAACATGAACTGACTCTTTCCATTCTTTATCGATCTAGAGCTATGACTCCAATGGGTGAAATGCCTAGCTGGACTTTGAGGGTCGACGTTTCAACCCCACTGTGGTTCTTTTGTGAGCAAGTGTCACATTGCAGTTCGGTAAGCTAAATAAATCTACATCTCAAACTTTCTAGGCACTTTCTTGAGACCCCATCGCTGAAATTGGATTCCACGTTTTGTGCAGGGAATGGTCGGAGCCATCAATGCACCCGACGCAGGCGACAAGACGTTTGAAGCATTTTTAAAGTCAGCGGAAAGTCAAGGTAAAATGGACAGCGGTGCCCCTCCGCCTGGTGGTATGGGTATGGGTATGGGTATGGAATCTGGAATGGGAGGTGATGCGGCGGCTTCTGCTAGTGCTTCTGCCAGTGCTTCTGCCAATGCGGGAGCTGCCGGTCCACCGGGAGAAGCGGGAGCACCCGGCGAAGCAGGAGCTGCCGCTCCACCGGCTGAAGGAGGAGCTGCACCGGCTAAAGGAGGAGCCCCACCGGCTGAAGGAGCAGCCGCGCCGGCTGAAGGAGGAGCTGCACCGGCTGAAGGAGGAGCCCCACCGGCTGAAGGAGGAGCTGCGCCCGCGGAAGGAGGGGCTGCACCGGCTGAAGGAGGAGCTGCACCGGCTGAAGGAGGAGCTGCGCCTGCTGAAGGAGGAGCTGCACCGGCTGAAGGAGGAGCCCCACCGGCTGGAGGAGGAGCCCCACCGGCTGAAGGAGGAGCTGCGCCCGCGGAAGGAGGAGCTGCTCCAGCGGAAGGAGGAGCTGCACCGGCTGAAGGAGGAGCTGCTCCAGCTGAAGGAGGAGCTGCACCGGCTGAAGGAGGAGCTGCACCGGCTGAAGGAGGAGCTGCACCGGCTGAAGGAGGAGCTGCACCGGCTGAAGGAGGAGCTGCTAGTCCTCCGGCCGAGGCCGCTGGTGCAACGGGTGCTACAAATGGTGAGCGATTTGAACGTTCTAACTCTTTGGGGTGTGATTTGAGTGCTCAGCTGAATCCGTCTTGACTCCTTTCTTTCCTCACAGCAACCTCAACCTCGGGCGCCTTTACTCAATTCCAGTCTTCCTCTTCCACCACACTGGTGTTCGTGTTGATTTCGTCGATACTCTCAGTCTTTTGAGTATGATCCAGCAAAGATACTTCTCACTTATTTCAATTGCTACCAAAAGATATCATACACCCGATCCTCTACCTTCACATACTACATATCTTCAAATCATCAACACGAAGGCAAATGATTTTATAAATTCTCGGTTACCTATTTTCCAATTTCTAGCCATGTTGGTCTCCTTAATCTTTGTTCCAAGTGAATTCTTTATTTTTGTTGTCACGCAAAGACACCGACTGTAGTCAACTTTAACTTTTTAGATGTTTTAACTTTATTTTTTTACTCTCGCTTCATTAACATTTGTTTAGACTTGTAAATCAAAGTCTCTACTTATTCAAAACTTCATCCTTGCTACCAACCTTTTTGCTACACTCGAGACAATATAGGTTTAGCCCAAAGAGTCATGAAATCATCCGTCATTGATTCCAAGTTGAGATTTCCGATTGTCGAGTCAAGAGGACTGAACAAGCTCTCGAGCATTCACCGACAAAGCCGTGGCCACAAGCAAGACCCATCATTGAAGCATATGATCAATCTGATCACCGTCCATTTCTTCAATCGAGTTCCAGAAGCATCATTCCAATAGTATGATGACTCATCAAAACAAGAGTAAAATGTGAATGCATCGAGACTTGATGGTCATCGACTACTAATGTCGAGGAAGGAGAAAAATGTTGCTGATTCTATTTCAAAAAACCTCGATACATATGCAAAAAAAGCAAAGAGATAAAGATTGAAATAACAAAAGATTCATTAAACCAAAGTATCCTATAATCTTCAATCATATCCTTCATCAATTCCCACAAACCTAAATAATTATCAAACCCAACCAAACCACACACGTATATATATATCATAAGTCAATGATTCTATCATACCGAGAAAGGAAGACAAAAACACGTACGAGAGAGGTTCGAATTGATAACCAGCTCCTTCATAATGTTTTCCATTACTTTCAACCCAATGTAATCTCAAAGCATGTAAGAAAGCAGATAATCCTTCCATAACGATCAAGATTGCAACTAAACCAAACCAAAATGTTCACTCGTTAAATCCTATTTGATTCAAGATAAACAAATAAAACTCACCAGTCAAAGTAATCCACATAGCAAATAGAATCACCGTAAACACAATTCCAGTTACTCCTTCAACTCCGAATGCTAATTTCATAGTCATTGACCATAAAACTTCACTAAGTTGTGCATGGGCAAGTGAAAGTGCCCAAAGTCGTAAATAAGAAGCTGTATTAGAAATACAACCTAAAGCAAATTCAATCGTATGAATGGATTGATGAATGATGATATCTCCCATGTCAAATCCCTAAATAGCATTTGATAACTCATCAGAACAGGCTCAAAATTCTCAAAGAAAGAAAAGTGAGAAATCGACTCACGTGTTCATCATCTGAACCGTGCGCAGCAACATGACCTGCTTCTTCTTCTTCAGCATCAAAACTCGAACGACCACCTGCTCCATCACCATGTCCGCCTACGATTCCATAACCTTGCGAAACAATCTTCTCATGTTCTTTATATTCTAAATAAGGTTTCACACATAACATCCACGGAATACAGATCAATGCGAGTAAGAGTAGGAACACTTGAATGAAAGCTTGTCCTGTGTACAGCTGTTCATCAGGATCAACGGTTCCCGGCGATAAAAACATGTAGATAAGCATGTTTAACAAACTGTAGAAGGAACACAAGGCACAAAAGACTCCTTCAGCAAAATGTACCTCATGATACATATAAGCAGAATGCAACGCAGTAATTTCATGTTTACGTACTTGGGTGGATTGCCCATTCCCGGTTGCGACCAATCGATAGACCATTTATAAAGAATGGTCAAGACAAGCTAAGATGAAATTTTTTTCCCAAATGAAGGCAGGCCAACTCAGTATCAGTAAATGCCGTGAGGTGATCATTGCGATTGGAGGTAAGAACTTACATATCCAAAGATAGACTCCATAAACAAGATTTGAGGTAAAAATTCGGCCCAGATGCTACTTTTGCGACCGAAGAACAGGTGATTGGGAACTTGTAAACAAATCGCAAAGGACATCTTCATGTTCAAACAAGTCGGGTATATATCAATATCGAAGGAGTACATGATCATATCACTTCGAATTTTGAAATTGACTGACATGTATCACACCAAGGATGATCGACATTTTCATTTTCAAAGAATTGGTGAAGATCAAATTGTTCTCCGCTCCATGCCAGTTCGGATCAATTCCAAATGGATAACGGTAGGCTGTAGGTTCAGCCGTGACAGTACCATTAGAAATATGTTCCGGCCATTTCCATGCTGAAGGAGCCAACGTCAATGAAAGGGAAAAGATATCATTATAGATCTGAGAATGTGAGAATTGGAAGTTAGTAACCATTACTCTTGAAACATAAGAAGGCTCGACTTACAAAGCCCGTAAAGACAGCAAAGGCACCCATCAACAAGATAATGTAACGCCCAAAGTAAAACATGGAAAAGATCTCATCCTTGACTTTGGCTAATTTCTTCTCATTCATCACCATCGCCAGAGCAGCCAAGAACATGATCAAACCATGTCCAATATCTCCAAACATGACAGCAAACAAGAACGGAAAGGTGATGATGGTGAAGAGAGCAGGATTGATTTCTTGATAAGAAGCAATTCCATATGCGTCTACGATAGCTTGAAACCCTTCGGTGAATTTGTTGGTACGATGGAACGTGGGAGGTTTGGCGGATGTCCTCAGTTCGTGTAGGATTGCCGGGACAGTGGTACCTGCATTCTCAGTAGCACGATTGAGTGCTTGTTGAACAGCTGTGATGTCCCTAGTCGGTATCCACCCTTCAGAGATCAAAGTTCGCCTTCCTTCATCATATTGAAACAAATTCAGAGTAGCGTAGATCCGTTTCTCTTTTCGAACCACTGCCCACCATCCCGCAATCGATTCAGCGATATTGGAAAGAGCTTGTCGACGAGTTTGGTTGGTGTTATACAATACTGAGCTGATATCTTCGATTCTAGATGTAACTTCTCTCAGTGATGCTTCTCGTGCGGAGGCATTGGCCTCCACCGGAATGACATTGGCACCCATGGAGTCAGCGATCTTGCGTATTTTGCTTAGCAACTCGTCACCATCTGGATGCAAAAAGAAGGGCAGATAAATATAGATGAGTCAATCTATTAGTTATTGAGAGCATATGATAAGATAAGTATGAATCGGTATTCACGAGCAAATATGATGAAAACCACTTTGCGTACAGCACTGGCTTTCTCTTGGTCCGCCTGAGAGGCTGACGGAGATAGAGCGGCCACGGATGATGTCAGCGGTTCTTCGATCTCGGCCTGAAAAAAGAAAATGAATGAGTCCGGAAGTGTATCATCGGCGAAAAGACTTAAGTGGAACGAGACGAACCCAATTGAGATACAAGTTACCACGTAAAACTCTCCAGAGTACACGTTCAAAAGTAGGCATACGAGTTCGATCAATTGTACCTGCTACGAATTCAAGTTCAAAAGCAGTATTTCCAGAAGTTTCATCTGATCTACCACCACGACCTTCTTCAGCTGCATTATCAAGTAAACCAGCACGATCATCATCTAAATCGACATCCGATACTCTTCTTTCACTTGGATGATGATTAGCACGTTCAAAAAAGATAGCCGTCTCTCTTAAAACGTGTCTAGCTTCTTCAAGTTCACCAAGTCGAGTTCGAAGTTGTTCATAACTTGAATTCATGGTTTGTAATCTAATTTCATGATCTTTAAGTTCAGAATCAAGTGAATCAAGTACTGCAGCATAGTTCGATCCAGCTGTAGGAGCCAAGAGATGAGTAGATGAAGAAACTGTTAAAGATCTTGCTGCAATGTTTTCTGAATCTAAGAGTGAATTAAAGAAGTTCAATCGTCGAGTCATTTCATCTAATCTACGAATTTCAGCCACGTAGGCTCTTTGAAATGGATTGAGATCGGTGTTGAGCTGAACCGTATTGGATTTTGAAGAAACATTCTTCATCAGTTTTCTTTATCTTGAGTTTTAAAGTTGAAGAAAGAGAAACTGACGTCTTTAAATTGAACTCTACCTAGTTCACCTAATTCAGCAACAGTTGGATGAGCTACATCATTTGGAATGTAGATCTGGACCAGAGACATTGCCTCTGATCGGAGTAGAGATGACATCTTGAATGAGAAGTTGAAGGTGTGATTGTAGGTAGAACTTGGAGAATGAAACAAACTGAATTTAAATCAAACCGACGACCAGTCACCAAACTACAAAGTCAGATGTCACTTACTCTGGCCATGTGATATCTAGGTGACATCAAGTCATGACATCAGAAGCTACAACATGCTTATATGTAAATTGTATGTACTTGAGTCCAACTTTCAGTATCACCACTTCGATCATTCTCACCAACAAACCAAAACATGAGCCAATCTTCAAGCCTTCCAATCTTACAAAACATAACAAAGGTAAGTAATCATCATAAACTAATAAAATAGAGATCAATAGACTCATCCTATTTGCTATCTTAGTTCAATAGTACGCTCACCAGAATCTTGGCTCAAAACCCAGGACCATATACACTCCAAGGTTTGTGAGGTAGAATTTTATCATTGATCTTATGGAACTACAACATCAATCCAATCTGATGAACTCTTTTTCTATCTTCAGGTACCAATACGTATTTAATCTCAGGTTCAAAATCTAGTTTTTTAATCGATACTGGTCAAGGTCTTTCAGCTTATATACCAATCTTAGAATCAGTTTTAAAAGTTAATCCACCAGTTTCAGATATCATTTTAACTCATTATCATGGAGATCATGTAAAAGGTATTACATCAGTACTAAAATCAATTCGATCTATCAACAAGAAACACTTTGAATCATCATCAGATCAATTCAAAAAACCCAAAGTATGGAAATATAAACTCACCAATCCTATTCAAAATTCTTTAATCAAATCAGATGAAGAAGCAATCGATACTGAATTGATTAAAACTTACTTAGAAACACTTGAAGAGAAAGAAGACTATTTTGAAAAATCATCAATAACAGAAGAGGGTACTACCAAACCTGAATACCAGTATATGAACTGGCTTAAAGATGATCAAATCTTTAAAATCTCAGATCAATTGAACTTAAAAATCATTCATACACCTGGTCATACCAATGATTCAATTTCATGTGCACTTTTTTCAAATCAATGTAATCAAACAGAAACAAAACCCCATCAATTAAATGCAATCTTCGTAGGTGATACTATCCTTGGAGGAAGTACCACAATCTTTGATGATCTAAGTGCTTATCTTAAATCACTAGAAAACCTACGAAATTTAATCCAATCCGAAAACTTAAACGGACTCAAAACATCTGATTCTTCTACAAATGATCAAAACACAAGACTTTATCCAGGTCACGGTGATGTGATTGAAGACGGATTAGACAAAATCAATGAGTATATCAAACACCGACTCGAACGTGAAAAACAAATTTTAGGATACATAGCCTACGAACCGAATTCAACCACTACAGACGAGTAAGTGCGATCAATTTAAACTCAAACCCTTAACATAAACCAAACTAACGAAAGATTTTGTTCGTGTGATTTGTAGACTTATGAAATTTATTTATAATGGTAAATTACCTGAAAGAGTGATTCCTGCTGCTCTTAGAGGGTTACGATTACATTTAAAGAAACTTATGGAAGAAGATCAAGTGAAAGAAATCGAATTGGATCGTTGGACTCGATTAAAATCCAATCAAGAGTAAATTCATCAGGTCTGATGAAATCTTTCCCTTACTGCATTAGAGACTTTTTAAATAATTTTATTTATCATGCTTTCCTGAAGACATGTTGGTTGGAGTACATTTAGATTTATAGACTATGTATCAATCTTGTATACTTATTTACATATGTTTTAACAAGTTTCTATAGCAAAGCAAAATCTACATTTGGTGAACGCAGATATATGTATGAAAGTCCACAAGTGAATTTCAGTTCACAAAATTGAATGTCACTTGAATGATTAGGCCACAAATCTTGAAACTGTTTGATAATGAAGGGATGACATCATCCTTTAATTGTGACACCATTTATGATGCAAAGTTCAAACGATGTAAGTCCACTCTCGAAAAAGTTCTTAAAATAAGGCTTTCCTCGGACAACCCAGTCCCAAGGGATACCCTTCCATGTTCCCATCATATCACGAATTTATGAATCCGGAGGGTGGTGCTATTGGGGTGGTATCAGATGGTATCCTGTTTGAACCATATTAATCAGAACAGCGATTTTCCCAAGATGGCAGGCTACGGCACGGCAATATGTAACTATGAGAATAGAAGAACATGAATCAAGATTTGAACCAGTTGTTAAGTAGGAGCTTTCAAGTTTTGTGCACATGGCTTTTCTTTGAAGTTGATGCTAGTGATAGGTTTAAACAATTCAAGAGAGAATGAAAAATTCCAGGATGTAATTACAAACTCTGAAAAGAAAGGACGGTCAAAACAACTGTTTGTTTCGAGATGTTTATCTAGAGTTGGAATTGGTCTTTTAGAAAAGATGTTCATCACATTTTGAACCAAACTCATGGCTTTGGGGGAACCAAGCATATGTAAAATGCAAGTTACCCCAAATCAAGTGATCAGACTGCTCTGCTCTGCTGACTGTTGAGTTGAAATTGAAGTTGAACTGCAGTCTGTTGGACAACTTTCCTTTCCTATGGGCAAGAGGGTTTAAGAATCTTAATTAAATTAAGATGATTGTAAGTACACAGCTTTTTGATAAAACCCTTAAGTTAATGGTGTAGATACTTAAGGATATGGGATTGAACTAAATTGAGTTTAATTTAGTCATCAATTGAGATCTCTTGAATGAAGTTGAATTTGAAAAAAGTTTAAAATTCAATTTGATGTTGATTTGATTTTGATTTTGATTTGATTTGATTTGATTACTACGCTTTTACTACGTATATCAGCGTAGATCGGATTGGATTGGATTTCGAATTCCTCAAAACCAATTCCTATTTCCTCTTTACCATCATCATCTTCATTACCATCAACACTCAAGCTCAACAATCGAATTCAAATCAATCAATCAACCCTCAGGATGTCGAGCGGATCTGCCGCTCCTAACCCACAGCGTACCAAGACTGTCAGACTCACAGTCGTATGTCAATCATCATTTTCTCATTTCTGCATCTCTCCACTTCTTAGCGTTTCTATCTTCCAGCTTTGAACATCCTTTTCTCTTCTATGATTGGTTTCTTTCAAGGTTGCGGCTGATGGTCTTAGTAAGAGAGATGTCTTTCGACTTCCTGACCCTTTTGCTGTCGTCATGGTCGATGGTGATCATACCAAGACGACTTCAGCAATCAAAAAGACATTGAATCCTTATTGGAATGAAAGCTTTGATATGTTGGTTTTGGTTTACCCTTTTTTCCAATCCAGATTCAATTCATTACAATCTTGTTAATTCCTGATTTGATTCGATTTAGTCAAGTTAAAGATTCATCAGTTGTCACTGTACAAATCTTTGATCAAAAGAAATTCAAAAGAAAAGATCAAGGATTTCTAGGTGTTATCAATATTCGAGTCTCTAGTGTCTTGGATCTCGATCTGGGCGGTGATGGTCCGTTTCTTGCTCTTTCCATTACCTCTTTTCGTCTAAATAGCCATGGCCGATCACAGACCAAAACTGTCTCTGATGAAATCCTTTTTGATCTCGTGTATCGATCAATCCACTTTTATCAGAAACCCTCACTCGTGACTTGAAGAAGTCAAATGATAATATGGTCGTTCATGGCAAGCTGGTTGTACATCTCTCTACCAACACCTCTACTCCCATTCGCAATCAACCTCAATCAACTCCACCAACGAATGAAAGCAGTTCTAGTCTTCCTCCTGTTGCCAACACTCCTAGCTCACTCACTCCAAACACTACCAACGCTTCACCAAGTTCTACATCACCTGGATCGATCCCACCCTCAGCTGACAACGCCACCCCATCTCCCAGCAACCCACCTCCATCTTCTACAGCTGTGAGCCATCCGAATAATCCAAATGCAAACCCTTCTACCGTCACTGGTAACTCGAGCACCAATCGAAACTATTCAACTACCGAAGATCAATACGGTCCTTTGCCCACTGGCTGGGAACGCCGTGTCGATCACTTGGGTCGGACTTACTATGTTGACCACAACACTCGAGCTACTACTTGGACTCGACCTCCACGAAGTGCGGAAGCGCAAGCCAGTCAACAGATCACTGCTCAAGCTAATGATCGTCAACGAATGAACAACCGAACTCTAGCCGATGACCTTCTCGGTGGTACTGAGGGCGCTTCATCCGGCTCAAGTCCTGCGATCACCCCCACTCCCACTGGAAATGGTGCTCCTGGATCTAGCTCAAGTGGTGCATTGGTGCCTTCCAGTTCGACTTCTACCCCACCTCCCAATAGTGGTAGTGGTGCGGGTTCGACCTTGAACACTGGTGCTACTACCGCAGGATGGGGTCCACTCCCAGCCGGATGGGAGCAACGATTCACTCCCGAAGGCAGACCTTACTTTGTGGATCATAACACTCGCACCACCACCTGGGTCGATCCTCGTCGCCAGCAGTTACTTCGAGTCATGGGTCCCAATGGCAACAATGTTCAACCTCAACCTGTTTCTCAGCTTGGGCCACTACCCTCAGGTTGGGAGATGCGATTGACATCGACTGCCAGGGTATACTTTGTCGATCACAACACGAAGACTACCACTTGGGATGATCCCCGCTTGCCTAGCTCACTCGATCAAAACGTACCTCAGTACAAGCGTGACTTTAGACGAAAATTGATTTACTTTAGGTCTCAACCTGCTTTACGTCCTAACCCGGGACAATGTCATGTTAAGATCCGACGTAGTCATATCTTTGAAGATAGTTATGCTGAGATCATGCGACAACAACCGAATGACCTCAAGAAACGTTTGATGATCAAATTCGATGGTGAAGATGGATTGGATTACGGTGGTGTTTCTCGGTAAGTAAACCAGAGTGAAGCTTCTCAGTTTCTGTATGTGAAACCAAGTTTTTGACATTTGTTTGCCGGATGCGACTAGTGAATTCTTCTTCTTGCTTTCGCATGAGATGTTCAACCCGTTTTACTGTTTATTCGAATATTCAGCTGTTGATAATTACACATTGGTAGGTGGTGGATGTCCCAACACTTTGCTGAAGGATTTGTATTCATTGATGTCTTTCCTTTCATGTTGCTGCATATAGCAAATTAACCCTCACAGTGGTGTTAACCCCGAGCATCTGAACTACTTCAAGTTTATTGGACGTGTCTTGGCACTTGCTATCTTCCATCGGTAAGAAGACATACTGTGGATGTTTGGTTTACTGCTATCCCATCCTGACCCTTTGATATCTGTGGATGGAACATAGTCGATTCTTGGATGCGTATTTCATCACCAGTTTTTACAAGATGATCTTGAAGAAACGTATTCAACTCGCTGATATGGAGAGTGTAGATGCTGAAATCTTCCGATCCTTATCATGGATGCTGTAAGTCATCATTTCGGCTGCATATATCCTGCACTCATGATGGAGACCTGATCCGATCATATGTAATTTTGGATTCATGGTCAACAGTGACAATGATATTACAGACGTGATTGAAAATTCATTTTCGGTTGAAGATGAGAAATTTGGAGAAGTGGTCACGATCGATCTGAAAGAGGATGGTCGAAACATTCCGGTCACAGAAGAAAATAAGAAAGAGTATATTGATCTAATCACCCAATGGAGAATTGAAAAGAGAGTAGTAGATCAATTTAAAGCTTTCTTGACTGGATTCAATGAATTAATTCCACAAGATTTAATTAATGTGTTTGATGAAAGAGAATTAGAATTGTTAATTGGAGGAATGAGTGATATCGATGTAGATGATTGGATCAAACATACTGATTATCGTGGATATCAACAAGATGATCAAGTTATCAAATGGTTTTGGCAAGCCGTTCGAGCTTGGCCAGCCGAGAAGAAATCAAGATTATTACAATTTACCACTGGTATGTTTTTCTTTTTCTTGGTTTGGTCTTCCAACTTGCTAATCCAGTTCTTTGGGTGTTTTCTTAGGTACATCAAGAATCCCGGTTAATGGATTTAAAGATTTACAAGGATCTGATGGACCTAGAAGGTTTACAATTGAAAAAGCAGGAGAAATTACACAATTGCCTAAGTCACATACTTGTTTTAATCGATTAGATTTACCACCTTATCCTAATTTTGATCAGTTGAGTTTCAAGTCATATCTCATTTGACTATTTTTCAACAATTCTAATCAATGGATTGGATTTTATTTTTTATGTAGATTGGAACAAAAAATTACATTTGCTATTGAGGAAACTTTAGGTGAAGACTTTTTTTCTTCCAATTCTTTTCCTTTTGGTGTGCTTGTGACTGATCTTTTTTGGGATTTGATTTTAGGTTTCGCTGTGGAGTGAAAATCTCCTTGGCACTGCATCGTCTTCAAGACTCATTCTCAAGAATTGCAAGGAGGGATTAGAGTCGAGTGGGAGTAGGCTGTATGCGGACACGGAAGGAGCAAAATATACATGAGTGTAGTCGGATTGATTTGTATTTACGATAGTATGTTGATGTATTTGATTGATCTTACATAATTATATATATTTAAAAACCATATATATCTTATGATTGGATTTTTTTTATTTTGAACTTTTCTCTTTTGAAACTTTTTTCTCGATTTTGATTTTTTACCTCATCATTTACAGAAATAAAAAACTGTTTTTTTCATTTATATTATCTTTTCCTACTTTTAAAGCATTCATTTATTATCTTCTTTCTCTTTCTTTTATATACTTCAACTTTTTCTCACAGAAGAATTTTTTTATGAATATTTTCTTTGTTGTTTGTTTGATAGATAGAAATTTATTTTTCTTATTTGATTTGTTAGGTTTTGACATTACAATTTTTTTTAGTTTGGTTTACAAATTTTTTGAATCCTTTGATTTCCAAGTTCATATCAAGAACTTGTTGCATTGGGAATCAGGTTCAGGAGATGATTGAGGTTTGGGGATATATGGATATTGAATTTGAATGTGGTTGTGGTGATTTTTTTGTTCTATCAGCTTGTTTTTTTGGTTTGGTGATGAGTTGATACAAATTCAATCAAGCAGGAAGAACTTGAAAGGTCACCAAAAAAAATAAATTGAGAAAGAAAATACCAAAATGACCAGGATTGTTTGTCTATGGTGTGAAGTGCAATCCATTATATATATAGACAAAGAAAAAGTTTGATTTACAAGTCTGAATGTGCTGTAGAACCAAGGCTAACTTTGACACTCAAATAATTTCCGCCTGAAAAAATGATTGCATTTAATTATGGTGTTCAAACATGTGCAAGAACTGTGCAAGACCAACGTGCAAGATCTGTGCAAGATTTCTTGCACCAATCTTGCACATTAATTGTTTTGACAACCCCAGTTATTGTGTTCTAACTGGTGCAAAAACTGTGCAAGACCAACATGCAAGATCCGGGCAAGATCTGTGTGAGTTCTATTCATATCTTGCACAGAACTTGCACAACACTTGCACATTTTAATTTTGAAAATGCATCAAATAAACAAAAATCCTGATTTAATCCTGAAGAATGATGATTTAATGCATTTTCAATTGTTTGGTGCTCTAAATGTAATCAACTTTTCACAAGTGAAAGTTACTTTATCTTGGCAGTGACAGATGCTTTAATCAACAGTTTTATGTCAAAATTAATGTTTTAGGAGGATCAAGCAACTTTTTTGGTTTTTGATAATTGAACAACTTTGAAATACATACCTGTTGTTGTATAAAACTCTGTCAAAAAAGAATCTACAACAATGGTTGGGCCACCAAAAAAAAGGAAATTTGTTTCTTTTTTTTTGAAATCTGCCCTGTTTGATTTCCTTTGAGATGATTTCAGACATTGATAATTTCAATTGCTCATCAGGCAACTCTCCAAAGAAGGAATGAAAGCATAGGGACATTGAAACCTATAGACCAAACACTCCAAAGAAGGAATGAAAGCATAGGGACATTGAAACCTATAGACCAAAGACACTGAAGATTTACCATCTCAAGTAAGAGGTAGTTTTCAACTCTTTGACTTCAAGTTCCTTGTGTTTTCTTCTAAAGTTGAAGAGACACTTACTTTGAACAATTCAATCAATCACATTGTTCAGGACTGCTGATCATTGAGAAAGTGGCTGGTGTTCATAATTAAACATCTTGGAGCCTCAAAATCCAACCTTTTTGGTCAGTAACCTACTGCCAAAAGTTGGTGAAAATCAAACCTTTTTTGGTCAGTACCATCTGTAGGGGTATTCCAGGATCCTTATATTGCTTGTATACATGTCTATCATCACAGAAGCATTTCAATAAAACAAATTCTGTAAGAAACATTGCTAGATGGGGTCACAGTTGAGCTACTTTATTCATCATGGATCTAACCGGCTTAGTTTATGAATTCTAATCCCATCAATGGGTTGACATATTTTCTGCTCATCAAAATTCTTGTATACTTGTGCAATCCATGTTGTTGGGGTATAAATCACATAATCTTGTGACATTCACAACTTGGTGTGTCAGCATTACACAAAGCTTGATCATACATGAAGTATTCTTATCATCTTGCACAGTGCCAAAAGTCTAGATACAATGCTGTACCCTACCAATTTTCTTGGTTTAGTATCACTATAAGCAGTTGGCCCCCAGCTGCCACAATAAATAAAGATTTGCAGATTATATGAAAATGGAAAAAACTGCAAACCTAGATACAGTAGTTTAAAGAATGTTTGTCACAATTTTTTTGCCATGCTAGGGGCACAAGCTTTGTGGTTGAGCATTTTTAACTACAATTGAATGGTGATCTAGATCTTATCTGAATCAAGCTGAGCCCACACAGCATCAGCTTTGGATACTGCTTGCAGGCTTCTTGCTTTGTTTTCTGAATCTGATTATGCTTTGGCACCACTTTTAGTTCAAAACACTCAATCACCAGGCTTCCCTGCTCAACAAAAAAATTGTGACAAACATTTTTAGAACTGGTGTACTTTCACAAGCCCTCCAAGTCAGTTGTGCGGCTATTTTTCTCAGCTTGAGCACATGGAGGTGCCAACCTCCTGGCCCAATTTGTGCAAAAGAGAGGGTGTACACAGTGTTCAGTGCCAAAATCTTTCTTAAGAGTGCATTTTGACCAAGAGATAACTATGTAAGAAACTGATTTATAGGATATTGGCCAAGGAGAAAGTAGGTCATCCATATAAAATTACAGTAGATTCAAAGAAGACAGCAACACTGTTTTGATTTTGTTCACAAACAGAAGAACTGAATTGAAATATCAATCTGGTGAGTGCACAGGATCCGCCAAAAATCCTTCTTTAGAAATCACAAGCTTGTCAGTGAGTACAAAAACTTTGACATCAGCCTCAGTCATATCTTTCTCCAAAGAGGTGCTTGTGTTTTTTGTATTTGTTGGCTGCACCAAGACCAATTCCTGTCTCTCACTGGCTGCAAAATCCTATCACATATACTTGTGCATATCCCCTCTTTCTTGAGGCTGTTCTTTGTGCAGGAGCGCGCAAGCCTGTGTAAGCACTTAAGCGCCACCGCTTGTGCACCGCTGTCCACCGGGAAGTCACAGGCATGGAGATTATGATGATTGCTTTTACATTACAAATAGCGCTGACATTATTTTTTAAATAGACAGTCTTGTTACATGATTAGGTGGTTTGAAGACCCTTCATACCCATATTAAGAATATGGATCATCACAATCATTTTGAAAGGTACTCATCTATCACTTTCTTCATGGCGCATCTCATCACTGGACTAGTAGGAAGTACCGCCGGCATGACTGCATTCCTTTCTCCAGGATGATCCCCAACGTCTGGGTTAACGCATCGGGTCCATCTGAGGTCTAGGATTCGGCCTCGGATCATCTCATCCACCGCATTTACCCCAATTTTTCTACATAATCCGAAGTATGGCATGGTCCGATATCCAATTGCTTCTGGCTGGGGTGGACGGAAGTCAGGATACTCGGGTTGCGAGTCAGGCTCTGCCTCTATTGGCCTCGTCAAAGTTTGCATGACGTAGAGAAGGTCACTTGCTGAGAAGGAAGTCGGTTGATGAAGCTCTGTTCCCTGGTTATCAGCACCATCCCGAGACAACGGATCAGAAGTGAGAATTTTAGAGTCAAGAGCCAATACTGGGGCATCCAGGCGGACTGTTGAGATTCTATAAGAGGTCTCAAAAGTGCCATCACTCACAGGATTTGCTGGGTAAATTTCCAGACGATTTCCGTCGGGTGGGTTGTGATTTTGTTCGGAATTAACCAGATGATAATGCAATAGGGCATACGCTTGTAAAAATTGCGAGGATTCCTCCGGTCTCAAAGTCCCACCAGAATTCACTGTCAAATGTGTCCAGTAAGAAGTTTAAAAGTTGCGGGCTGAATGACGTCAAAGAATGCATTTGGAGGAAGTTAAGGTATGGCCACTCACAATAATCTCCCACAAAACCTTGTAGATGAGCCAATTTACCGCCAAAGGTCTTATATACTGTCTCAAACTCAAGATCATATCCATCCGGATGTCTTTTGGTATCTGTATCAGTCTCCTCTGGCTTCAAAATCAAATCCCCTTGCTTTCCCCCTCTAGCATCATACACTGGTTGCTGGTCTAATTTTTTCTTCAAGGTTCCGATCAGATTTTCGTTGAAGTATTGTTGGGCTTCAGCCTTGCAAGGATCGCCGACGGTGATGATAGTACAATGTGCGAGTACGTTCATCTCACGAAGCCAATACATATAGAACGGATCAGATGTAGCATGGATGACGTGACATAAGCGATCTGAAATATTTTGAATGTGTCAGTGTGGGGTCCTTTGCCTGATAATTCTGAGAGGCGGACGAAGTCACCTTGTTTCGTTAGCACCAGTAGAGCATCCAGGATGCATTTCATCGCCTCGCCATCCTTGATCAGATTCGGGAGCTTATGAGCCTGCAGGAGAGTAATTAACAAACTATTAGCATTCACTTTTCCACACTGAGTCAAAACTACGGGGAAACGAAGGTTGCAGGCGCCTGTTGTAATATCAAGACGGATTTCACCTCGTCGAGGAAACTGTTAAATGAAAATGCAACGCACTGTGAATCAATGGGAGGAAGTTTTGATCGAAACAAGCGAGTTACTGACAATACCGGGACTTTTTTCGTGGGTGGTTTCCAGACTTCTTCTTCCTTTTCCTCCTCCTCCTTCCTCTTCTCGACGGTGGCAGACGCATTTTTGGAGTTTGAATCACTTTCAACCTGTTCATCGGGATTTTGAACAGTTCGGCTTTCTTCTAATCCTTTGGGAGGTAGCAGCTTTTCTTCATCTTCCTCTGCTGCTAAAACATCTTCATCTGTTTCAGATATCAGGCGCTTCGCCTTTTCTGCTTTGACTTTTTCCCATTCTTTCATTGGCTTTTGTGAACTCTCCTTCGCTTTATCGGGATCATTGGGATCGCTAGGTGTGAATTCCCAATACTGCGAATGAGTACAGCAGACATGGTCATGTTGGGATAACTTTCTACACCGGGCTGAGGGGGTATCTTACCTTCAAAAGACTACTCTGAAACAGTTCCAACAAGTGAGCAATATCTGATGTCTTCACTTTTGCCCCCGTCTTTTCTATTTTTCTCTCGACGTCTAATCTAGTGTGCTGCATGTGAGGTGTTGAGTAATTGTCAAACCACGATAGAGGAAGGGAATAGAAATATGCCCACTTTGAAAGCCAAAGCCTCGGTCTCAAATGTGTCATAGCCTTCAAGCCGACTTGCGAGGTTCACAAAGAATTGCTCCATTTGAGCTGATAGTGAACTGTTTTCGTGCGAAGTGATATCCTACCAGTAAGCCGCAGTTTCCGAAACATGCTGGGAAATCACGAGCCAATATGTTGTTGATAAGCGCGATGATATCAAAGAAACTCACAAAAACAAGGATGGTAAATCCGCAAAACCTGCGATCCTGAGATCGAAGTGAATCACATGATACCTCTCGTGAGTGAGAACCTAGATGGCAAAACCGAAGTGTAAACCTAATGAAAGCCAACTCCACCACGCGATTCACGATCTTTGGACACCCACTTGTCTAAGAAGGGCCGTTTTGCCTACGCTCGTCCCGCCAAAGATGACGGTGAAATTCTATCTGACAAACCAGAAGATGGAATTCACATCATCAAACCAACCAAGCACAGAAAGGAGGTTTGTCAAAGAGCGCATATACGTGCCGGAACAGAGCTCAAACAAGTTTCTAGAGCCTTGATTTCCTTTTCTCGGTGGTAAAATCCAGGCAGTGGTGAAAAGGTATGCTTGGGAGGGACTACGGGTCAGCGAACGATCGGAAAAGGTAATCGAGTATCGGGAGCACATGGTCAGTAGCGGGAGTCTTCATCGTACATTTCACCAATGAAACGTGAATAGAACTTCTGAAAGCGAAAGAGCTGGGGACTAACTCTGAGCCCTCTCCTGTTGCTCCAACATCTCTGCTCGAGTTTCTTCTAAAAGTCGTTTAGAATCTGCCAGAGATCTGAGAGTTTCGCCCGGCTTTTGCGAAGATCAACGAGCGCAAAAAGGATGCTTAAGCTCTTGTACTGCTAATTCACTCTAGAAGAACTGTGATGACCCACGTTTGCCAGAATGCCGATTACTTCACCAATTCCAAAGAACGTACGACATGAAGCAGGTTGATGAGTTACCTTCATGGTCAAAGGACTGATGAGTTTCAAGTTCCGCTCGAACCTAGCCAATCTGTAGAGAGAAGGGACCGAAATGTGGTTCATGAAGGATGAGGGTAGCATTCTAAATCAAGTGGTGTTGGTTGACGGTCAAGAGGCAATTAAGACTCGGAGTCTGGGATGAAACCGTGGGATTCGGATGGGATTGTCGCATTCACTTGGATTCACAGAATATGAGTCGCTCTGGAGCCCGGCTTGACAAACGCTGTCAGAGTCATACACACCTCACTGTAAACATACCGCAGCAAGGTCTCGTGAGTCAAGCGAGGTAAAGCGAAGAGATTTTGCAACCGCGACAAATGGAGAAAATTGCATCGCCAACTGACCATGCATTTCTGACCCTTGACTTACATATCAACGACGAGACACCTAGCGGTAGAAGAGATGGGCATCTGCACGGCGTATTGTGATAAAGACATGTCGGGCTATTCGGATAGTTCCGTTATATGATCTTATCCTTTTTAGACAGGTAACTAAACGACTGTTCTCCACCTTCTTGTGAATTCACTTGGCGCAGAAAATAAAGAAAAGAAACCATGGCCTGAGGCTCAAGCCAGAGGTGGTCCACGACTGAAGTCTTATTTCTTTGGTTAAGGAGAACAATCATTTTGTAGTGTTCAAAGGGGCCTCCAAATTTCATGGATCCACATTTACTACAGAAACTGACGTGTTCTGGATCTCCTGCACACCAATAATTCTTCGACCCAAGATCGGGATTTCGAAAGAATTGCCCCATGGTCAACTCCCTCAGAATTAAATCTCCAAAATTGTGAAGACGTATCAAAGTAAACACAATCTAAACACTTGCCATACATTAAGGAAGATCATACCAAATCATGGTGCCATAGGTGTCAAACGTCTCACCATATAAGACTGTGTAATTCCCCCACACCTGAAGACCCCAAGATAGGAGTGCTCATTAAATTTAAGATCCAGTGCCCCAAGAAAGATAGCCCACATAAAAAGCACTTTATATGTTTCAGAAAGACAGCTGCACCAGCAAAATGGTTGCCTTGAAGGCTATCATCCCAGGCGCTAGGGGAGGCAAGAGCCCATATAAACGATCTGTGGATCCAAGGACACGTGGTATGGTTTTGTGTGAATAACATGTGATATGCACTCATAGCTGTATTTGCATACAGATTTTATTTTCATCCAGGGTTGACAAGGAACGCATCTTACCTTCCTCCTTTCTTAGGTAAAGTTGTCACATGCCTTCAGTGGTTTTGCTCTGTCATTTTAGATGATTCTTTCAAATTTTGGTAAGGGTCTGGTGTTGCCAGTTCCCTATTTTTTGAGAGCTAAAATCTTTTTAAATCGCAATAAAAATTCAAAATTCCATATCTCATTCTATAACATTTTATCCCTCCAGTCCAAACCATGATGCCCATGTTCTTGGGTATCAGCGGTCAAGATTGTCACCGGACACATGTTGATTGGGAAAGAATGCTCGCTGATAATGTCAATATTTTTGAGAAGCTAAACATAATTGTATCTTGATCGTGGGCTGTGGTTACCAAAGCTGCCCAAGCTGCAAAAATCTCATAAGACTTATAGTTGACAGTGATTTGCGCGTGTGACGGCAGAGACAAGTAGCAACAGTAAGTCACTCTTTGGAAAGAGAGTTTGGTTAGAGCTCTATATATCCTTTGTAGAACTTTTCCTCAGAGGAATAATGCAATGGGCAAAATTGACTGAGTGGTTACTTACAGCTGGTATGCTGCCATCCGACGTCAACATGAATAAGTCTACACTCGGAATCTTCTGTATAACCCATGGCTTCTCAATTGTGTCTTTGTCTAAGATGCGAGTTCAAAAGGATCAAGTGTTGAAACACCATAACAGGATCATATCAATCAGTCTTTATCCCCAGTTCCGTGCTAAAAAACACCAGTACCAGGCTCTCTATCATGAATTTTAGGAATGTGTGGAAGTAAAAGCACGTTCAACTTACCTGAGATTTTAGCTACTAATCTTCCAGTACTTGACTCAATAATATCTCCAGCGATACGATTAAAGCTTCGTTTGAAAACATATCTTTCATATGCAAAATGATTTGCTTCGAGATACCACCTATCTGGCAACAACATTCGAGTTTTGATTTCGATATTCAGGCCATTGGTGGCATGGTAAGTATGGTCAAATCCGCACCATCCAAATGCCTATTTTATCATATTTGTATTTGTGAAGATTGCTGTCAGATATCAGATTCTTGGTAAAAGATACACAAGGCAACATTCAAGGTCAAACTCAGGATGGATAACTCACAGAATCAGATTGCACACTGGGTTTTCCTCGGGTGCTCTTTAGCGTAAATTGGCTTTCTTTCGGAAGTGGACGTCCCTCATCATCCATAAAAGAAAGAAGATAGACTACATTGCCTTCATAATCATATATTTCAACGTCTTTGTCTACCCAGTCAAAATGTTTATCCAAAACGAAAATTTCAGAATGAGGTGAAGTATAAAAGTTGGTTTGCAAGTCTGAAAAAAACATCATTTGAATCATATCAACTTCTGCGTTCTGGGAAGCTGATCATGAGGAATAGCGAAGGGGCTATTGACAGTGGCAAACCTTTGTGCTCCAGTGAGTCCGCCTCCGCTTTGCATCCGTGTTTAACCTTCGTATACCCAAATATCGCCATCAAAAGAAACCATTTGGTGTGTTTTCCCATGTCCAATTCTATTTTGTGGAAAATCTGACCGGTTGACGACCTCAGGCAAGTGGCGGTCGTGTAATGTTGCAAGGCTCGGAGCCAGCGCTCGATGGGAGATGTGTAATAAGTGGTGTGATTTACAGGGGGGAGATGAAGGCGAATGAATAATTATGGGTTGCAAGTGCGAATCTCGAACAGAACGAAAACCTTCAAAAATACATCATCAAAAGCTCATACGCTGTTTTGCCTGCGTGTCAAAGAGAGTTTCACACTTGTCGAAAAACCCAGTTCAGGAAGACCTCACGTTTCGAAGAGGGCAAGTGACATTATCTGAAATATTTGATACAAAGTCTTTTGCGTTTTCTAGATAGCTGTAAACCGGTACAACAAAATTAATCATGTGAATGGGAGGTAGACTGCTCTCTCTCTGGTCGTGTTGCACAACTGCGGCGTATTGGCTACCCGATGGTCCACATCATTTCCGTTTGCTTGCAAATTTCTTGTGCTGAATTTCAAGCAGAATTCCTGCAGCCATTTGAGTTAACTTTCACCGTGCCTACTTTGTTTTCAGACAATTTGTTGCCCTACAAGTGCAAATAACAACCTTACGGCAAGTTTAATCTGGTTGGTTTGAGAGGCATCTTTTGTCGAGTGATGATGTCATTCTGGGTGTCCCGGAGGTAAGCCGAACCAAGCTTCACCGCAGACCAGAAGAGACTACAGGGAGAGCTGAGATAGCTCTGTGTTTTTCATGGTTGTCCTCATCCTTATGAACTGAGACTTGAAGCCTTTGACCCTTGACGTACCAGCAGCCCTTCCTGATATGTACTGACTGGACGGCTGAATGCCCGAGTCCCTAACATCGCGCCTTTTCACTTGAAATGCCGTAAATGGATGGTACTTACGGATTGATGAAGGTCCAGAGAGGAATATCCCATCTTGTTTTCTTTGTTGTACTGGAGGAATCTCTAGAAAGAACTTGTATTTCGCAATTAGGGTAAGGGTAGACCCCATTTCTGCCTTTTGTGAAGTTTGTTGTCAATTTCTGTTTGAGTTTTGCAAAAGTTTAATTCTCAATCCAAGAAAAGAAAGATGTTGCGACTCAGCTGTCAAAAAGTTTTCGGCTTCAGCAAACAGCCAATCTCAACTTCCTTTTCATCAAATCATTTTCGATCTTTATCTTCTCAATCGATTTTTTTGAACTCGAAACATAAATCATCACTCGAACCTCCACCATCCAAAAAGCGTTCAAATTTGGCTCATGGGCCTCCCTCATTACTCAAACAGGCTCTTAAGCCAGCTCATGATATTAGATCAATACGAGACGTAGTCGGTGAAGTTGTAGCTTACTCGACCGCTGAGGAGTATGATGTCCGTGCACTTCAGCATCGATTGGCTCGCGCTGGGTACTCACGCCCCATGTACAACATTCTGGGTGAAGCGATTTGGATACCTGAATGGTCTCCTAGGCTTCTCGAGTCCGAAAACACCACGAATCAAGACGATACTAATGAGAAAAATTCACCAGAGCGACGCACAGGGGAAGTGTTTGTCTTTGAGTCTGGTTAGCTTTAATCCATTTCCTTCGTATCCGTCGTCTGAATGTAGGATCGATGATGATCAATTGACTCATTATCTGCTTGCTCCTGTTCTACTCAGGCAGTTTTGTAAGTTGGGGTCTAGGTGATGCAGAAGCGGTTGAATTTCTCGAGACGATCATTCGACCGACGGATGCTCAAGCTGCAGAGCGACTTGAGCGTAACGCATCACGAGAAGTAGAACGTGAGACGATGGAATATCGTCGGTCTAGGACGGGACCGATTTTTGAAATCGTATCAGATCAGATTGTTATTGGTCCAACTGAGACTGGCAACAATAGTCCCTCAACCACTCGAACTATCCTCACACCATTCCCTGTACCATCATCGAGGCCTTCATCCAATGAGATCAATATACCAGACCATTCACTTCTACTCTCCAAATTGGCAGTCTCGTCTGCTCTCGCTCGCGCTTGTAGGCTCTCTCGGTATGAGACCCAATTGGACGAGTTTTTATCAAAAGTCGAACACGTTCCAATGATGTTAAAGACTGGGCACGATTCACCATTAGATAAACGTGAGATTATGGCACGGTATGGGGAATTACTTGAATTAAGGCAAGGGCTTAGTTTGAAAGATGAGAACTTACTTGATCTTCCGGAATGGTTTTGGGAAGACACGGGAGCAGAAGAAAGTTAGTTAACACGATCATAAAAATTTTGCGGTGCCCTTGAGAATTCTGACATTACAATGTTCATGTTTGAACGAATTACTGATATATTTCAATGTCTCTTCTGCGTGGCTGAATTTTCAATAACTTCAGAGCATTTCAAGAAGATCTTACGAGAATTTGATTTTGAAAGAAGGCTCAGAATATTGAATGATAAGCTTTCAATGGGTATTGAACTTCAAGGACGATTATTCGAATTCAGTAACTCTGTACGTATCTAAATACTACTCATCATCAATTTCGCTAATTCAACTCATCAATTGCACGAACAGAAATATTCTCATCGGCTTGAGTGGATCATCATCATCCTTATTGTAAGTAATACTTTTCGAGGCTTGAGATCACGCACAAAGCTTTTTTCGGCTCACAGCTTGATTGTATGTCTAATCAGGCATTTGAGGTTGGACACGCCATGTACGTTGCCGATCATCGTCGACATCCTGAGCCATCCTCAGAGCCAGCTCTTCCTCCGACTCAGTCTTAGTGAAAATTCAAACAAGATGTAGCTCCTCGTCCCAGTCTTCTGCAAGCCAAAACAAGATACCTTCTCTCAAAATCACAGAATCTTCGTAAATCAAGTGCATATACCAACTTCGACATGCTCATCCGCAATAGTCATGAATTTGATTTTCTTATCCCAGCTCTTGAATTTTGATGTATCGCTTAATTGTAAACTATATACCCAGTCTGCAACTCCTTTGCAAGTCTTAATGTTTGTAATCTTTTGCTCATGCCATGAAGTGAGGAGTAATGCTACTAGGCTTGAGTGATATACTATGATTGCCCGATTTCTCGGCAGAGCAGGTTAGATACTAGAGTTTTATGTATTCTTTGTTGACACACAATCAGCCTGTGAAAGTTTTGCCGATATGTATGGGTGTTAAATGCTTAGGCACAACTGGGCACAACTGTTTGTTTTTGACTGAATACTAGACACTATGCGCGCATGCACGCAACAGGAGAACAATTTACAACTTCAATTGATTGTTTCCAAGTTACCTCTTACTACAAAATCAAATACAAAAACCCACTTGTATAGGTTAAAACATATCATGTTTAACCACACTTTGCTATCAAAAGCTTCCCATATTGTCACCACCAACTCATATTCACTCCCCTATACATATGGAGGTTAATCAATTCCAGGTTAAATATCATGAGTACAATAAAATCCCCTATTTGACCATTATAAAAACCCTTATAAGCAGAAGAAGTTAATCTATTCCTGGTGACCCTTAATCAAGTGAACAAGACACAGAAAGCATTGATACCCCGCCTCCAGATTTGTAAAGGAAGATTCCACTTCAACCCCCTTGACTATCAAATGTTTTAGTGCCTCAGTAGTGTAAGGTTCCCGCGATGCAGAGTTGACAGAACATACAAAAGTGTCTCACTAATAAACTGAAAAACAATTGACAGTTAGATAGGTTTATTCTTGCAGTCTACAAATCAAGCGATGCATGGGTTTGTTGTTTAACAGGAATTGAGTTGATACAAATAAGAAAAATGGGCAAATATATTGGCGAAATAGTGACAGGGATAGGAGGAGGGTTGTCCAATCGAAGTGGAGACCAAAAAAACCAACAAAGCATAGGCCATTTTATAGCCTACTGACTAAGCATATGTGGTAAAAATGGCGGGTGACCAGTGTTATAAAAGCACAACTTCCGATCTACAAAGAAACAAAAAGACAAAAGACAACAACAATTGGTGGTTCAATGAGAATGAGAAATCAAACAAACAGATCCCAAACACAATTAGGTGGACACTTGAATCAACAAACATGAAAGGCCAATGAACATGTGGTAGTGATTGGCTCAGCGGGGGGAGGCTAATTGGTTGACCATATGGACCAAGAGACCAAAAAACTAATACTTCATTGGGCAAAACACACGGACAATCGATTGAATTGAGTTACTTTTCAACTACAAGTAAGGAAAATTCAAAGATATGTAGGAGTAATCAGAGGAAGGAAAGAAGCTATGTGGTGCCAAATGCAGTAATAAACAACATTTGCTTTTCAAAAAGCAAGAAAACTGCTTGCTTCAAAAGGTGTGAGTCAACAAAAAACAAAGTGAAATTGGAAGAAGATGTGGAAACAAAAAGTACATATAAGAGAAACAAACTGAACAACGAAATCCAAATACTCGGACCGAGCAACAGATAACCAAACTCGAGTGATGCAAGTAGCTTGCAACATTTTGTTATTTAGATTCTATGAAGGATAGATATGATGTGTCATGTAAGGTAGGACTGATGGGTCCTTACTTGTACCACAAATTCAAGTTTGAAGTCATCAATTCCTGCCTGAGATCCAACATGTCGTCTTAGTCATAAGCAGCAAGATCTCTACAGTAACTGTTGTACATGGTATGCTTGTCATAACATGCCCAAAGTCCGATGACCTGGGAGGTATGAATTTTGAAGATTTTCTTTGATGTGGGGTCCATTCTCTACGCTCTTTAAATGCAAGCTCTTATATTATAGCCATGTTCAAACCTAACCCGGTTTCCAAAAAAACCACTACACCCAGTTGCTTTTTTGGTGGTAACTTTGTGTATCAAGTTGACATTTCAGCGGTACACAAACATGAACACCCAACCTAAAAACCCATGGACAAAACCCTTGACAACCCAATTTCTTGGGGAGTTTTGTCCATTGGTTTTCTGCTTCCCCGTTGGCCAAAACCAAACAACACTCGGGCTATCATGGGTTTTGTCCATGAGTTTTTAGGTTGGATGTTCAGGTTTGTGTACCACTATTGACCACCCTTGACAGCTCCCAGCCAGAAAGGCAAGCTGGTGTACCAGGTTTTTTGGAAACCTGGTTGGGTTTGAACATGTCTTATCACAGCCCCCATGGGCGCTAGGTCAGGTTGTGGGCGCAGCGCAAAAAACACCCCTTTGGCGCGCCTAGGCATCAAAAATTTGACAAAATGAGGTTCGGCGCGCCTTTTCAAGAATTACACCAAATCGTAGGAGTTCTATGTCCTGTCACCAATATTGGCGGCTTGGACACTCGCTGTGAGCTTTGATGTCAGCTTTTCTTAGCTTTTCTCACCTTAAAAAGGCAATTTTGCGGTAGTAGACAGCTCTAGCAAAGCAAACATAGAATATATAACAATACAAAAATGACATTTTGGCTTTCAGCGTTTTTTTTGAAAGAAAACGTGTCCGGCGCTCCAAGTGGCACCTAGGCGCGAACAAACCAAGAAATGCACCTCGGCGCGCCTACAAAAATACAAGTGCGCCCACAACCTGAGCGCTAGGAGATGGCTTCTAGATAGAAGAATAGTTACAGGTGCATAGTGTGTAGCCTCAGCTTACAATGTGTAACTTGTCACATCACGCTTGGCACTGCTGTGCTCTTTACCTTCTCTGAGAAGCGTAATTTTCTCTTTACCTTTCTATGAGGATGTTCTTTACCTTTTCATTTATAAAGACTAATGGTTGATCTTGAACTTCGATTCGTCCCTCCTTATTTTTCTCCTTCATTCTAAATTTACTTGAGATTATTTTTCCTAAAAAGTTCCCTCTTCTTGGTTTTTTATATTTTCATCTTGAATCCTATATAAGATTCAATCAATTGTCCCACCCTCCTCTCCCTTGTTATATCCTAATTAGGCTCCCCATAGCAGACCTTTTAATGACTTGGAGTTGTTGCTCATGTATTCCCCTAATTTCTATCCTGTTATAGTTCCTAGGGTCTATTATTTGCAACTAGGGCTCAATGCTCTGTTTTTGGCTAAAACTTCCACATAGTAAGTTTAGCTCAAATCACCTATGAGCACCCAAAACTATTCTGCTACTATTCACTGGAAGTCCAGAGACTACTGTGACTTCAAAAGAATTTCAGAATTATTTGGGAATGATTTCAACATAATATCACTGTGGGGGTCATGTGCCTGCCATACCTCCAGGAGTGCAATGACATTGTATGTCATCAGAAATCATCACAAATCTGTACACATCTGCTCCTGCATTTGGACATCAAGAACATATAGTCTATCAACCTCTATTGTGTAAATTGACCAAGTTATTTCTCATCCATACTTGCTGGTTTTGAAGGTAGTACATCTGATCCTGATGTACTGTATTCTGCACAACACCACAGCACCTTTGTTATACCAGAGGGTGAGTCTTTCTTTTTTCATCCTATAAATATATTATTAATTATCCTTTTTTGTTCTAGGATGCTTCTATCTTGGTGATGCTTCCTACACCAATGGTAATGGAATTCTAACCCCATACCATGGCTTTTGCTACCACATCCAACAGTGGGCGTGATTTTGAACCACACAACAAAACTATGAAGAGTTGTTCAGATATAAGCACTTTTTACCTCAAAAAATCATTAAATGAGACTTTGGTGTCTGGAATATTTGATGTGTGATTCTAGTCTTAATGCAAAGATTTCCAATTCTTCAACAACACAGCTTTGTTGCGGCACTTGCTATGCTTCACCACCTCATCATTTGAGGTGGTGAAGATTAGTTCTTTGAAGAATTTGATGAAGAACAATCCAATCAAGATGACTGTGGGTAGTAAGATATAGGCCAATGAAAGCATACCTCTCATTGGAGATTTTGGTGAATTAGGGAAGGTAAACTTTGGAAAGAAGGCAATCAAAAAGAAACCTAGTGACTCTACCTTCTAGATATTGTGTTATTTTTTTACACTCCTAAAAACCTAGCTTGTACAAGCTCTATCTACTCTCATTAATGTCTCCATTTTCAATAAAATGTATTTATTTATTTTTGAAAAAAAAATGTTGCTGGCAGCACTGCAAAGGGAAGGTTTTGCTCTTGGCTTCTATTTTTGACTGAGTAATTCCCTAAGTTGACCTTAAAGCTACCAAGATTTAGCCTGCTAGGATTAAGTTGTGCTTTGTAGTCTACAACTAGCAGCGCTGTGAGCCAGGATTGGTCAAGCTCAAGACAATTTTGTGCCTATGTTAAGAAATGACTGAGGTGCTGCAAATGCTAGATGACATTGCAATAAGGAGCTGAACTCATTACCAATTTCACAGAACTCATATTTGATCTGAATATTGTAAGCAGACTCTTCTGGATTCTTTCAAATCCAACATACTGAAAATATCATCCTTTTATGTTTATTTTATTTCTCACTAGGCAAATAAAAGTATTGTTAAAAAGATGAATTTCAATTTTTACTCTGATTTCATCCATCACAACTTATTTAACATGATTGATAGCACATACATAACAATTATTACTTCCATAGAAAAAAAGAAAAGTTACATTTTCTTTGAATCTTCTACATACAAGACCTAAAAACATTTATGGCGTTCAAACATGTGCAAGAAATTTGCAAAACCAATGTGCAAGATCCGTGCAAGATCCGTGCAAGAAATCTTGCACGGATCTTGCTTAATTAATTTTTTCACAACCCCCTGCTGTATGTATCTCATCAAGGGCAAACTGAGTCCTCGAAGCGGGGAAGCCTAGGTTCACACATAAATTTC